AAACTCCTAATCAGAATACAGAAATATCAGAATCTACAAAAACAACAGATGGCCAACAACTAACAAAGCTGTGTAATCTTTGTCTAAAATTGTACAGTAGGTCTTGCATAATTAGCTATTGTGTACTGTGTACATTACATTTATCTTATTATTGAATTAAAATCTAAGCTGTGGAGCTGTAATCCTGTTGTTTAAAAACATTAATTTAGGAAACTGGCGACAAGCCTAAGTAAGCCCTACTTATGTTTTTTTTCTAAGGCTTTGACACACATATGATCTAAACTCCTGTTATATTCTTCGCCAAATGAGCTTTGTTTGTTTTGTATAGTTAAACATCTCGATATTTATCAAGTGGCCAAAGCCTTCTATGATCTAAAATGCAATAGTAGACATAATCTTGATACTGCATATCACTTTCTGTCTTGTGGTCAGACTTCCTGATAAAAACTCTATGTGAGTCAGCTGATCTTTGTTCAGAGTATGGTGATGGTAGGTTGTTTCCTGCTGAAAAGGTAAGGTCACAATAGAATTGCAGATACAGTATACGTGAGAATCATTGAGGGATATTCCTCCATTGCCTCCATACTCTTCATGGTTACACAACAGTAGATGCCACCTTCCATCCATCCTGGAATATCTTCTACTATCTCTGAATCATAGCAGTGGTGTGCTTCCATCTCCCTATTGGAGAACATGCAGTAACACACTTTCACACTCTTTTTACCCTCATTGTGCTCCCTGAATAGGTCATTTCAAGCACAGCAGTCAGAAGTCAGGTCTCATCTGCACTACTCACTCATTAAGGCCCGATTTATATTCTGCATTCTTCTCCCAACATGCCCTATTCTGATCTATTTATCTTCTAAATTGTAATAATGCATTTAAAATCTTCTTATTGTGGCCTATGTGTATCTCCTGTGCCTAAAATTTACACTGTAGGAACATTTTTAGTTATTTCACTACTCTGCTAGTTACTGTCACTTTTTCCAATTTAATTGACAAATTGTGCATGGTGGTGCAATGGTTTTTAGCATTGCTTTCTTGCAAACCTGGGGCCTTGGGTTTAATTCCTGGGGTGCTGTCTACTGTAAATGAAGCTTGTGTGTTCTCTCCATATTTGTGTGGGTTTCCTCTGGGTGGTCTGGCTCCCTTCCACAGTCCAAAGACATACTGGTAGGCTAACTACATTAGCTTCTGGGAACACTGGTCCTGGTGTGAGTGTGTGTGTTTGTGTCTGTGTGCCCTGTGATGGAGTGGTGTCCTGTCCACGGTGTATCCCCTCTTGTACCCGTTGTTCACTGGGAAAGACTCCCAACCCCCCCATGACCCTGTTTTGGATGAAGTACAGGAGTTAGAAAATTGCTGGATGGACATTCTGCTTCCCTTTAAACCATTACCTCTTTTACAGCTGCGCTGATGTTTGTTCTGTAATATATTAACTTTTCTTGTGAATTTTTAAACTGTCCTTTGTTGTTTGTTATTTGTAGTGTAATTTTTGATAAATTCACAAAATACAGCACATGAACTTCAGATTTAAATTGGCTTGTATTCCCTATCCATCGTCTAACAGGTTAAAAAGCTGATGAACTTTTGTATTTTACCTGTATTTACTTTTGTACAGTACTGTATATACTGTCCTTTGAGTATGCCTTATTGTAATTTGGAAGATGGCTTTGGAAAGGTGGTTGCTTTATTAGAAGAAGCTCACTAAAATAAAAATGATTAGATACATTGGTTGTCTAAAGGAGATTTTTACTTATGCAGTAAACTTCAAAATCAGGTCAGAAGGAATCCTGGCAAAACGACATAATGTTGGCACATGTTTAGGTCCAAAATCCACCTCTGCCATGCAGTACTTATTTCCTTCTTCAAGCTTCCTTCCTGCAGTAAAGACAGAATTGTAGATTTAAATTTTGATTCATTTCAATAAATATGTCAGTATCTTTAATATCTTGGATAATGTACATTGTCTGAGAGAAAATATAAATATAATATACTGAAATTAAATATAAAATAATGAAAGAAAATGTATTCTATATAATGAGTTTCACAATGCTTATATTGTAGCCTACATAAATGTTCACAAAGGTTTTTCACGTGGGACCTGGGTTTCCTCCCACAGCCCAAAGACATAGTAGTACAAAAGGTAAATTGACTAAAATCCAGGATGTATCCTGCCTTGCACCTGTGGCTTGTCCGTATAGGCTCCGGCTCTCCTGCAACCCTGGATAAAGTGGTTAGAAAATGGTTAGATGGATGACCTTTCTTTTTTTTTCATTTTGGCCTTTCAACATGACCCATTGTGGATTGGCTACTTTTTTTATAGCACATTTCATATAGTATATTTTAAGAACATATTTGTCTCACTCTTCAAACTGGGTTATTTTTACATGCTCACAATGTGAATTTCTTTGTGAATCTAATGATTCTTTTTAGTGGTGCTCCAAAGTCTTGAGACTCCTGAATGATGTACCAGGACGACTTTTATGTTGATTTCAAATTATTTACTTTACATTGATTGACTGAGAGCTCTGGCATGAACTGTATATGAAAGTATTCGATGTAGTCTTTGTTGTAAAGCTAATGATGGTCTCTCTATGTTACCACAAAAACATTTCTTGTTTGCCTTTTGAAGTTTTCAAAATCTGTTGTAGACCTGTCAAAGTCAGTAACTTCGGCATGTAATCTTTAAATAGTGTGAATGAAACACACCATACTGTAAAAGAAAGGAATATGAAATGCATTCATTTATTGTAAAATTCATTATATATGGTTATAAACAGAAATTATGGATTTCTATATGGTTATATTGAAAATATACTGTACACAAATTATGGAAAAATGACTGAATCACAGATTAATTTATTACAGGAGATGTATTTTCCCAATAAACAGAAGCTGCTGTCATTCCTGTTAACTAACACTAAATTATTTTATTGGAACAGAACACTATTTAAATGAAAGCCCTTCTTTTTGTAATTACAGTTCCTGCAGAAACCCCAAAAGATGACTAACAGGATTTTCAATATCTGAATGGCAAATCATGAGAGAAAGGAAGCTTTACAGGATTCAACGGGACATAAGCATTTCAAAAGCAATGGTAAACAGAAGCAGCTTTGAAGTAGGTTGTTATTTTGTTTTTTATAGACTGCTATGAAATTCATCATCTGATATCACTACAGACATTATCAGTGAATAGGAGCCAGCTGCAAATATAATACAAAAAGATCAGAGGTCCATTCATTTTAATGAATTGTAATTAAAAAGACAAAACATATACCTAGGAGATCTGAAATACTTTAATATTTTATTAATTATATTGTGATTTGTTTCTGTTGAGAGTGGACTATACCACAACAATTGAGAGGGGTTTCTAAGTGCTGCAGCTTTTCTGTCTTGAATTTGATGAAAACGTGGGTTCAGATTTATCTAAGACATGCTCTAAAGAGAGGAATTGTTTCTCTGTAAAGTGATTTGTAAATACGGATCACAGGTAATTTTGGTGATATTTTGCAGTATGCTGGTTGTATTGTGTCTAAATCATGCTAGAAAGAGATTTCCATCTAACCTGAGCATATTTTAATTTCCTGATTTATTAAAATTACTTACCTGGCACTGGTTACAACAGCAGTATGTCAAAACTTCAACCTTAACATTTTTCCAACCTGAAATTCCAGAGTAGTACATGAGTGTCTGTTTGATTATTGATTTATTTGGCTGATGAAAATATCCAAAGAGATCTACTGTACACCTTTGTACCCATTTATATACTGTAGCTGATCATTTTACTGGAGCAGAGTGAAGTACCTTGCTCAAAGGCACAACCCCAGAGCCATAACCATTATAATCTATTTTTGAAGCTTTTTTATCTGGGTTTCTCAATCTTCACCGTGAAGTACATAAAAAGATTAAAATTACTGCTGCTCCTTAACTTAGGTTTCAAACAGATAGGAATAGGATTGGGAGGTCTTTTTAAAGGTTTTCCACTTACCACATATAATTTTGTGGTCTAATATGCTTAATTTACACATACTGTATCAGGCCTTGCATTCTAACAAAGTTAAAAACATGTACTTGTACTGTATACAGTATGATACTTGCAGGGCAGGACCTGTGTTTTTGAGGGTTTCCTGACGTACTGATACTGCTTTACAACTTTGCAACATGTTTGATATGTACTGTAGATATATGATACACGTACTGTATTATGAAATACTATGAATTCAGTATGTATATTTTGCCACAAGCAAACAGGAAATTGAACCATAATGGTCTTCAAATCTGACTCATTTCTGAAAGTTTGTTGTTTGAAACAAAGTTAACTCTGCCACACACATGTTCATCTAACACTAATCATCATATTATTGATGACTGGGGGTGATGGTAATTGCACATTCTGTTTCTCCCTAGTCCATCTTTCTAATATTATAATATGAATAATGTAACTTCCTTGAAAAATACAAGGAAAATAATTTTATCCTAAATAAAAGGTTTCCTACAAAATATACTGAAGCCTATGGTATTTCTCAATACAGTTGGGAAGAAAAATTAAGTTAACTGATAAAAGGCCTACAAGACAAACTGCTCATTGTGAGTTTGGTCAAGTTTTTAATTGAGAGAAAATGTTCTTTTAAAGGTTGCTAAACTTGTGACATGTACACTATACTGTAAAAAGGTACCGTCATTCAGATGAGACGTAAAACCAAGGTCATGACTCTCTGTGGTCATTAAAAATCCCAGGGCATTTCTCGAAAACAGTAGGGGTGTTGTCCTTGGTGTCCTGGCCAAATTTCCCCCTGACCTTTACCAATCATGGCCTTTAATCTATAAATTGGCTTCATTAGTCTGTTCTCCTCCCCACTAAATAGCTGATGTGTGGTGAGCATTCTGGCGCACTATGGCTGCTGTAGCATCATCTGGGTGGATAGTGCACATTGGTGGTGGTGGAGGGGACTCACCATTACCTGCAAAGTGCTTTGAGTGGAGTGTCCAGAAAAGTGCTGTGTAAGTGTAAGCAATTAATTTAAAAAAAATTCAAGAAGAATTAGTAGTTCCTATTTTCCTACTACAGGTAAGTGAACACATCTGCATATTTGTTGCATTAACTCTAATTACTGTATCTTTGACGTCTGGACTGTAGCGTTTAATTTGTATCATTCAGGAACATCTACTGAGAAATTTTTACTCAGACATCAGGCATTTGTTGAAACCGTGGTACAAGTATAGCCGGTAGCAGTTTCTGACTAGCTAGCTACCAAAACTCCAAGGGACGCCGCATAACTTTGCAAAGCATTCGTGTTCACTGTGCTACGTGGTTTCAGCCACAGCGTGCTGCTTTGTCATCTTACCCCTTGTGGTTTACCTCCTTTTGTTCACAGAGCAGAACCGTGGAGACTGAACACGTATCATTGATCACTGAACAGCGTACTCTTGGTACCCAGACCAGAACGATTACTTTGTTCAACTTAAGTACAGCGTCACTGTGGCAACACGGCACTCGCTGTACTGCTCTTAAGTCCCACCCTCGAGTCACCCAACCTGCACTTTTCTGAGGACTGGCTGGAGTTGTAGTGTTTGCTTTCCACCTGTTTACAGAGAGATACAGAATAAGTTTGAGAAAGCAATGACGGCGATTCGTAACAACCGACTTTCAAGACACCTGCAAGGTTAGGAGACTAAAATTGCGCATGCAAGACTGTAGAACGGTTTTATTTCGCTTGCTGAAAGAATGATTTTTATACCGCAAAATCGAAGTAAAGGTAAGAAATGTTTTCTCAATAACTTAAGTTTTAAACTTCTGCAGTATACATGAAAACGAATTTGTATTTGTCTGCGCATGTGCATATCTATTAGAGTACTACCAGCTGAGCACAAGTCCATTGAAATGTTTTAACAGGAAGTTTGTTAAAATTTAAAGTGTGTTGTTTGAAAGCTGAATTCCTCAATATAGTTTTAAAATTATTCTTTAACGCTGAACAATAATGACGTTTTTTAGTAAAATTTAAAGACTCGGCAGCAGTTCTGAAATAGAAAGCAGATGGTATATTGAAGGTACAAAAGTGTACTTCCTACTTTAAGTTTGGAATACGGTGGGAAAAGGTATTGCTTTTCATCTATTTAGAAATAGTCTATTTCCTAAAAATGAACATTTTGAACACCACGTGGAGAGAATCTTGCCACTAGTCAAAAATATAAAAAAACACATTCAAATACTGATGTTAGTATAAATCTGCTTTTAATGTGGAAAATACACTGGACCTTTCAGGAAAGTAATATTTATCTGTGAGGATTGTATTTTTCCTAAGGATGTGTCTTCTGTTGCTTTTGGCATAAGTTATGTTCCATGATTTCAGTGAAACAAATGTTATGTCAGTCTTTTGTAGACTGCAAATTTCGCATCTGATTCTTGATGTTCTTAGACATGTACTGTATCACTATCTATAGAAAATTATAGTTTCCTTAATACAGTATATTCGGCCATACGTATTAGTGTGTAAACTGATGTCTACGCACAAAAAAAGAGGAGTTAGAGTAGTCTAATCAGTGTGTGAAAAATAATTTGATGGAAAAAGTTTCTGTGTATACCAGAATGCTGTCATCACACAGGACTGCTGTCAATTACTAAAATGTATAGAGTGACTTTATAATTACAAGTGGGTTTTCGAACCAATAGCCTGTGTTGTTTCAGTGCTTCTTTGTATACTGTATATTTGTTAAAAATCATGGGTGAGTCCTCTTCACGTGGACATATTCAGGTGTAAAAAAAAAAAACATAGATCTTCCTCTTCAGGTGTCTAAAAACAGATTATTGGTTTTAAAAGACATGAAGTAACTTACAGTTCAATTTTTGTTTTAGAAAATAACAGTCCACTTGATTTAATGACTACCAGTAGTTATGTGGATGATGGCAGACGCAGAGATTCAGTCTTCAGCTACAATACGACAGGTGTGCTGAAATAGAACAATTTTCCCATTATCAGACTGTTTTCCTATCTTGCATGTTTGAGATTAAATGTACTGTAAAGGACCTGCTTCATTTTTTCCAGGTCACTATAATATGATCGGACAAGTGTACCTTACCACCACTACCACTTCCTCTGTGAGCTTTTTGTTGAATGCAGATTCTGTGGTAATATTCTATTCAGTTAGCTTGGACTGATAAGGCTGCATGTGAAAGAATCGAATGAACATTGTTTCATTTGCTGTATGTGCGGATGTAAAAACTGTCGATACTCTTAAAATAACCTTCAGTTATAAAAATGCATGATGGTGAATCTGCTTAATTGGATATTTCAGTATATTCAGCAAAAATATTTTGCTTGTTTTTTTTTCTTCTATATGGGTAAATAATTTGTTAAATCAAGAAAAGACGCCTAAAGTGAGATTTAGGTAGGGTTTATATTTTCCTGTCTCTAATATAAGGTTTTAACACTTAAATGAACAAGGCTACAAACAAGAGCCAGTCATTCAACCTTTCTTATGTTCTTATTAGGCTTAATCCATAACAAATCAGGACATGGTTTTATTTGATCCATTTAGCAGACACTTTTATACAAAGTGCCTCATTATAAAATAATCCTAACTTATGCAGTAAAATAATTTCTTGATCAAATATAAATGTTACACTGTGCAACAAGAAAAAAAAAAGTAGTGACTTAGATTCTTAACTGTGGCTTAAGAATTCATGGGAGAAAGTTGTACTGTAGGTATCAATATACTGTAGACAAAATATGAGAATCGCAGGTATAGACGGAGGAGATGAGTTCTACTGTATTTTGGTGCTGAAAGGTCATCAGGGGTGGTTTAGTCCTGATGTCTGTGGATAACTCGTTTGTTAAGTTAATAGAGAGTGGGAATGAGATAAGACTGCAAAGATAAGGTAGGACTAGGTGTGTAGGAGTGGAAGGAATATAGGGAGGAAGAAGGAATATAGGGAAAGGAAATAGATTGGCGGGGTACAAATTAATGGAGAGAGAATTGTTCATAAGAATCTTGAAACGATGCATGCAGATATTGGAAGACTAGAGCTTTTGAAGCAGATGAATATATGTTAGATATAAAACAAAGGAATCAAATTGAGCAGCACAGTTTGAAGTCAGATGAAGAGGCAAATTTGTCAAAGAGTAAAGGTGATATAAGAGTTCTAATAATCCAAACTAGACAGGTAAAAGGCCCCAACTAGATGTTGAGGAGAGAAGATAAGATCACTTTATTGGCCATATACAATTTTTTTTTGTATTAGGAATTTGTCTTTTCACATATCCCAACTTGCTCTCCATGAGACACGGATAGAAGCTTGGGGTCAGAGCGCAGGGTCACCCATTTATACAGCACCCCTGGAGCAGTTGGGGTTAAGGGCCTTGCTCAGGGGCCCAACAGAGTAGGATTCCTCTGCCGGTTGCAGGGTACGAACGGGCAACCTTTCAGCCACAGGCGCAGATCCTTAGCCACAGAGCCACCGCACTGAACTACTGAATGAGTAGTTCAATTAAAATAGGGTGCATTCTATAAATATTTCAGGTAGGTAGCTGCGTCAGCATGCGTATAAATTACGGCCTATTACGGTTTATTCCATGCTGAAAAAAAGAAGAAAGAGAACACAACGTTTCGGCCGTGGAGCCTTCTTCAGGTGTCACTTGATTTTGCAGTTTAAATGTACGTCTGTGTCCTAAACAACTAAACAGCACATCAAAATGTCTGTAGCCTATATATAAAATGTATATCACTATCTTAAGTTCTTTGCAAGTTTGTCCACAATTCTAAATCTATGTATTTGATCTCTGACCTCTTAAATTTAAGAGACTCTCCATTTATCAGGGGACAAAGTTTAATTAGTTGCATCAGCAGTGCAGATAAGATAAGATCACTTTATTGTCCATATACAATTTCTTGTATTAGTCATTTGTCTTTTTGTATACCCCGTAAATTCTTAAGCAGTTTAGGATCACTGACACCCCAACAATGTATCCATCCAGAATTTAACTTGAAGCTCTGAGGAATATTGGAACTGGAATGTGTATCTCTAGTTTCGTGTAAATGCAGTAATTTGAATGTCGGTGAAACATACTCTAGTGCTTGTTTTGTGAACAAATGATTATTGCATTTCAAAACAAGTCAAATTAGAAAACAATGAACAGCATTTACAACAGCAAGGAGAGCCAGATGTTTTTGTTTACCTTGTTAGATCATAAGATGCATTACAAATTTGTTTTCTTTTGAAGAATGGTAATGTAGAAAGAGATCTGTGGTATCATATGATAGATGAGACAAAAAAAAGTGATCTATCTTATCACTCCATGAGACACACAGACAGGAAGAGAAGTTTGGGGTCAGAGCGCAGGGTCAACCATTTACAATACCGTGCCCCTGGAGCAGTTGGGGTTAAGGGCCTTGCTCAGGGGCCCAACGGAGTAGGATTCCTCTGCCAGCCGCGGGATACGAACAGATAACAGTAGTTGCAACGGACTGGCAAAGGACAGCAGTAGTGTTTTTTGATCTCCATAAAAGTGTCTTATTGCACAAAAGACGTGATAGTTGCAGCAGAAAGTGTTAATGGTGAGAGTGGTGTATAAGTGATCAAATCTTGTTGTTGCTGTAATTTCTGATTTTTTTTTTGATCATTTTTGATTAAGTGATTTCTGTCTCAAATATGGTCTTCAATTAATGGCTGTCCTGCTTTCTGACTGACAGGACTGCAGTGTGTGCCCACCAAGAACTAATCCATTGTATGGGTAGAAACAAAGTAATTGAGCTAAACTTTGTTTATTTTCATAGTGTTTAAACTACATGAATGTTATACCTCAAGTGCACAGTTTCTGCAGTGCATTTAAAGAGTGTATCCTCACACAAAAGTCAGACTAAACTGAAGTTAATCACGTTCTGGTAGGACATGCAGAATTTAGTAGCAGTAAGTATTAGATGTAAACCAATGTTTTCTAACTTGCTTTTCATATTAATAAAATACTTTCATGTCTATGGTCATGGGAGATGAAACACCACAATGTCAAGTGCTACTTTCATCTAACTTCAAACAGAGTCAAGTCAGAGTTAAAAATGCAAGGGCTGAAGGATTGAGCACATCAAATGTAATAAGAGACACAATTTTCAAAAATATAAATGAAAGGAGGTTTTGTGTATTAGAAAGGCTGTGTTGGTATCAGAAAGAAGTCAAACATGAAGATTTGGGGCCAATGAACAGCTTTCAGATCAAATTAAAGGTATTGGGATCACGTATCTAAGATATACGTACATAATAACACACAGCATGTATACCAGGCTTTTTTTTTTCATTTTGTCCAAAATGTATGAACATAGGGTTGAAAAGGGGGACAAAAAGTATCTTACAGTTTTAGATTCTTCTTAGTCACCTTAGAAGGTAAAGGTAAAATTCCATACCAGAGTAGAGTGGTCTGCCATGTAAGAGCTCATCCTGGTTTCCATAGTGTAAAGTGGGCTGTGAATATGTCCCTGAATGAGATGCTGGTGCTTTGCAGGGAATACCCCCAGGAGTACTGGTCCCTACTTATACTGTACATCTGTGTGGACTGGAGTAATGAACCCTTGAGACAAACACAGCGTCTGCAGCAGGGTCTTGCACCAATATCCTCTGAGGTACGAGTCCAGAATTATCATGCTTAGTCCCAGTAATTAAAAGGAAATTCACTCTTAAGAAAACTGCACCACAATACAGTAATATTTTTTGTATCTTAATATTTTGCTGTGCTAATTTTAACACCTCACACTTCTTTGGTAGATGATAGTCCTTTTCTTGTTTAAAAGAAATTATTTGTGTTTTTATGAGCCTCACAGTACATGCAGACAAAGACAATTAAACATTTTGCCTTGCAAAATTCAGTGCAGTTAAGTTGGATACAGTATATAATTCTATATACCCATATAAGATATACACTAAAGTGATGTTGACTGTGTACTGTATATGAAGAAAATCTCCTGTACTTGAAAGACAGCTGTCTTCACTACCGATTGTAATTATAAGCATTTTTTCATTGTTGCATGATTTTTGTCTGTTACTCCTTTAATTACAGAATTAGCTGTCAGTATATTGAAAGCAAAACTATTTTTAGGAAATGTAGGAAAATGAAAGTGGAATTACAGATGCAAAGACCTTTCAGATATTAATCCTTAAACCACTGCAGTTCAGAATTACATTTCTAAGTTGTTTTTTTTAACTTCTAGTGGTTCATTTCAAACTACAGCTGTTTTTAACAAGATAACCACACAGATACCTCCTGTGCATTTTTACAAAAGTCATATGCTTTGAAAGAAAGGGACTTAAATACAGTACAGTACATAAATCTACTATTTTTTCTGTATTTAACTCACCATTGCAGTGAATCCACGAAAGAGGAACTTTGGTTGAGCCACGAGTAAGCAACAGTTTAACTCCTCCTGAGTGAGTTGATTTGTATCTGTTCCTGTGACTTTTCTTGTGTCACATCTTTTACATCAGTTAGCTTCCTGGAGAGTTACTATTACATGAGAGATGTTATGGTTAAAGTTATTGTTGTTTTTTCCCCAAAGATATTACAAAAACAATTCTCTGAGCTGCATTACAAAGAACTGCTGGCACAGTATAACAGTATAAGAATGGCAGCATCTTGACTAAAAATTGATCTGACTTCTGAATAATGGAAGCTGTGTGACATACTGTACAGTATTCGCACTGAGCACCTTTTTGGCTCTTTTGTGTTGTACTAGTCATAGCATAATGACTGAGACCTGGATACAGATGTGGGAGAGGTCTCAAATTCACTGCATAGTGAGGTACATGTTATGTGATTGTTTTTTATTGGGTTCATAGTGTAAGCCAGTCTTAAAGGTGATGGATTTACTGTAATTAGACTGAGATATTTAGACTTTAGTATTTTAGGAACTTCCTGAAGAACAGGAAGATGAACCATCCTTATGATGGACAGTTATTTTAAAAAAGTTTGTATGCCACTTTATAGCAAATACTGAATCACTCTGGGTCTGCTTAGTGGTTTAGGTATAATTGAATGTAGGCCAAACGATATGCTTCAAGAACTTTTTGAAAAGTATCTTCATTTTAGATTATCTTCAAATGCTTCAAATATTTGTTGGAAGTAATGTTTCTTAAAAAATAAGGGACTCTGTTTGAGATGAAGAAAAACTCAGTGAAATTCATGCTTTAAAAAAAAAGAGCTTCCAAGATGAAAAAATCCCGAATTTAATTTTAAGGAGTATTATATGTTCTTTTTTTGTTGTATAAATCTCTATCCAACCCAATTTATTCATTTACTCTGACACAGTTTCCTGGGGTTTAAGCCTAGTTCCCACCACTGGTCAGTCACAGGAGCAGGATTTAGGTTAATTATGACATTCCAGGAACATAACCAAAAGTAATACAGATTAAGTTAAGCATTGGATAACAGTGTAGAAATAGCCTAACAACTCAAGCAGCTTGTAACACAAATAGGAACATTTCCTAAATCTTTTGAAAGTTTTTAAAAATTAAATCATTCAGAGTTTAGGTAGGGATTTTATCTGGTTTTCTTAAATCACTTAAATTTTAAAAATACTTTAAAGAAACAATTTAAATTTAAAAATACATTAAAAAGACTTAAGACTAAAGTACTATTAAGTAAAACAGCTTAAAATGTATGATTCAAAGAAAAATTCCTTTACAACCATTAATGTAAGAACTTTGAACATGACAGACAGTCTGAGATTTTTTGGTTCAGTTCATACAGTACATTTGAATATGACTTGTTTATCTATACAAGGAGGCATCCATCTCTAAAAACCAAAATAAAGGAATGCTGCTACCTTACAAACCTCAGGACATGGGCAAAGTTTAAAAGCACCACACCTCTACATGTGGTGGTTGCCATTACAGTACAGGATGTCATCTGCTTGGAGTGACTCACTTAATAGACAGATAGGCAGACAGTTTAGGCCAACCTTCCATGCCATTGCACAGAGTAGCCCAGATGAATAGTCAGTTTGTGGTTTTGAGTCAATATTTACAATGTCGAAAGACGTAGACATGGCAGGCAGATTGCTGTAGTTTAGGTACAGCCGGTCAACAGTAGTTAATCCTAGATTAACCATGCAGAAATATTTAAAGTAATGGAATCTTGACCTTTATAAAAGATTATAGGAAAGGTACAAAATCAATGATGGTAGAGTAGATGGTATTCTAAAGGGAGATGATCTCACAACATGTCTTATTTCTTTACTAGCAATTCATTAGTAGTTTGAGAGAGCTGGAATAATTATTCTATGCTCTGTGTTGAAACATGATTAGCTTTTGAATTGTGGTCACTCTGGGCAGTTTGGTAGCCCAGCAGTGCTCAAGAGTGGATGCTTTTTGTTTGCCTCTACTAGATTTTCTTAAGTGAAGCCAGGGATTTAACAATATTCTAACAGCCTGTGCAAATGCATGTCTTGAATTGGACAACATTTTAGAATGCCCTCACAGTCCTTTCATTAATATTTCTTTTAATTGTTCGATTGGTTGTAGAGTTTCTAGAGAAAAGTCTCCTGCTCTGCATTTCCCTCTTAGTCACTTAGAAAAAGATCTGCTTTGCTCAGAGACTATTAACATTTGTTTGCTAGAACATTTGTAAGGTAACTGGCTGGCTATAAACCCCACCCTGCATGAAAGGTAAATGTACAATCGAGTTGAGCAAATAAGTATGCATCTTTAATATGTTCTGCTATGGGAGTTATTTGAACAGTTTGTTTGTCAGTGTTGTACATACTGTATTTTGTAAACTGACCATCAAAAGACAATTATCAATTTGAATGGCAACACATTTCCAAACTTATTAGAAAAACAAAATACAGTACTTTTGTAGCGGGGGGATTGACATTATATTGAACAGACATAAAGGTAAATGCACCAGGCTAATTAAAATTGATCAACAGTGTGTGTGGCTACCATTGGAAACAAATCTGTGCCATACTTGCTTAGTGTATTTATTGCACATTAATTTGCAGAAAGAGCACTTAAGAAAGTTTAATGTCTACACAGCTATACAGTTTTTCAAAGTGCATTATTTTAAGTATTTCAGCTATTCTAATTATCTTAGTCCGACAATGTACTATAGGCTACATTTCATCAGTTGTCAACCAAGACAAAATCTAGTCATTTTCAGGTTCTTTTTTTCTTTGGATATTTGGACCTTTTTAATTTTTGTGTCTGTGATATTGAAATGCATGCTCCTCTGAAACGGAGTTGGGGCTTTATTAGCTGTTTAAGGCAGAAACAGGAATTCAAGAGACACACATAAAGTATAATGTGTTTTTCTGCAGTGAAAAGTCCTCTGTTTTGTTTAGATTTAGTTTTTGTCAGACTCAATACTAGTATTTTGGCCATTTTTAGCACACTTACAATAACACTATTGAGAAATAATTCATTATAATAATAATTCACATAATTACATTTTGAGAGAAGAGCATAGTTTAATAGTAACCTGGTGATAAACCTGTCGTGATAAATAAACCTTATTGTGACATTCTGGCCAAATTTGACACATTTTAGAATGTACTTTTGATCGATAAGTTAAATATATTAATATAATATTTAGGAAAGCAGTGGCTGAGCAATGAATACCGGGTTTATCTATTCTGTCTTGCCAAGATAAAGCAAAACAGTTGTATGCATTTTTAATAAAAACTGTACAAATGTTCAATTCAATTTGATTTTTAAAATAATTATGCTAACAAGGTGTTGTGTTAAATTTAAAATCAAACAGGAAGTGTAACAAGCCAAATAGAATACTGAACAGATAATGCAAACGGCACACATGAATACTGATCATTGCACGTCACATTTACTATAACAAAGAAAACAAAGACCAGGTCCATTTCCATGTTTTTTGAAAGATGTTAAGTGAAATGCGGCATTCATCCTTCAGTTTAAAAATGTAGCATTCCTGACAAGATTGTATTTAAAAACTAATTTAATTTTGAAGGTTTTGTGGAAAAGAGAGCAAGAATTACAAATGTTACATTTTAAGCAGTAAGTTAAAAAGTTAGATGTCATGCTTCTTTCTCAATTTCCCTTGCTTTTACCACTGACGGCTGCAAAACATTGTTCAGAAATACAAAAAGGAAGTAGTTTGGCAGTGTCTTTAATTAACATTCACATTCCTTCTGTCTGCTCACGTGAAACAAAATGGGTGTAGGCTTTTCTGTATCTGAATTAAAATTGGTTGAAATGCTAAAAATGTCTTCCCTAAAAAACAAACAAAAATATTTGTAGTTTTCAAAGACCCCCCCATCTGTTCCGGTAGGTGAGGAATTCTCTTGTACTGTGTTTAGAATAAATTTTTCTTTAGTCAACATTATTTAAAAGTTCAGTTGATAGTCGTCATCCTTTTATAACTTTTCCAGCATTTACAGTCTTAGAAAAGATCGTTCAATTCACCATAAAGCTGTTTTTAATTTGTAACCCATTGATCAGCTTTATCAGACGACAACATTAAGATTTGATTTTACGAAATGCATTAGAATGTGATTTTAATAAAATTTGATCATTGTTTGCTGCTGTTTTTATTTATGTGATAATTGCACGATAAGGAAGAAAATCTCAGTGCACTGTGGCAATGATTCTTTTTAATTCTAGAGTAATTGCGAGACACACACTTAAAAAAAAAACCTTCACAAGGATCCGTGTTCTATTTTAGACCTTTTGTTCGGTAATTCAAATGCATAATGATTCCTTTCTAACTTCTTTGAAAAGATTTTAGCTTTTTCAAGTCATACATTTCCAGATTGATTAAACTAAAGCTTAATTGATTATTCTGCAATTCTGATAATGTACCAGTTCAAAAGTAAACACAGTAAGTTCTTAACCTGAATTTAACTGTTTAAATAATTGTTGTACTTAATAATGATACATTTTTGTCTAATTTATATTGCATTTTAAAGCAGTAAATAAGCAACTTCTGTTTTATTTGTAGCATAAATTTGAGCAAATTGTAAGAATGAGTTTCAAGCATTTTCCAGTCATGCATTTTTCAATATTTTAATTGAGCTATGCTCAAATATTCATAACAAATATTCATTCTCCTTTATTGGGCACCTTCACAAACTAGCACTTCTGCAGTAGACTGTGAGGGGGGGGTCGCAAATACATTTTTGCCACCTACAAAAATGTTTGTATGCCACAGATGCCAAAGCATTCATATACAGGAATCCTATAAATATAGATACTGTACATGACAACATACCAAAAAGCTTTTAATTGTCAGGAACAAAAAACTGGCTTTGTTAGCCTAAAGGGAAAACAAAAACAGCTTTTTTCAAAGTAGTCATTATAGTTCATAATACACATGATAAGAACTTTGATAAGAAATAAAGTAAAATATAAACTTAAGTAATTTATTAACAAAACATAAATGTAAATTAAAAATGAGTAAGGTCAATGAAGTCAATATGGAATTATCTTGATGTTAGGGTTTACTGTATGTATAGTATATTGACCAAATGGGTGTAGTGACTTTATTTTAAGGTGCAGTAATGGCCCCACCACTAAGGACTTAGTAAATATTCATCCCTATTATCTACTATCTCCAGTCTCTTCTCTCTGCTTATTACATGCATTCTGAGTTCAGATAATTGATGTGCAAATGTATCCTTTTCAGGCATTACATAACCTTGTTCTTCCTCCACGTTTCAAAGAAAGCCTTTCCTTTAAGAGGAACATTGCTTCTAATTAAGCAAAGCAGTCTTTAAAATGAAGGAACATGGGGCCATATGATGTTGTGATTGTTGTACAGTGTTCTGTTACATTATCTGATTTTTAAATTATAAATAGGTATTTTACACTGGTTTGGGATTTTTGTATTTGAAGAAAAATATGTATTGTGCATTGTTTTCAAATATGTAAAATAATTGAGATGCAGTACTCTACAAACGATAAGACTGAATTTAGTTTTAAGGTTTAGTTATAGGGGAAAGCAAAAGCAATATTTAATATCTGATAGTATGATATCAGATAATGTGCTGACACATTTTGTAAGTTATACTGAAGGTCTGCATCTCTGACATATTACCGATTATGAATTCCTTTTCAGGAAATTATTTTAATTTTAAAAAAGCAGTATTGGAAGCTCCACAACATTTAAAGGCTATGTTGTACATATTGTATGTTTGACACAAAGTCATAAATAAAATATAATGGCAATGTAGATTCAATTTCTTTAATAGCTTGAACTGCATGTTTTATGTTTTGCACATGATCTAATACAAACTCGCATGCATAGCAACTATGTAATATTACAAGTTTTAAATAAAAGTAACTATAAGATACTCTGCCTATTACTGGGTACTTTTGTGTCTTTTAAAATCAGGTAAAAATATCAATTGGATTTATTTTTCTCCCTGCTGTAACTGTATGTTTTGTCAGATATCCTTAAAATCAAATCTGATTTATTTCGCATTTGTAACTTGTTGTGATGGCCCAAATTAACGGCAAAGCTCAATCTAATACAGCGCATTACTCTGTCGTGTTTTTTATTTTATTTTATCATTTCATGCAGTTGATTCGGTATTCATTCAAACAAGACTACTGTACTTCTTTGCTCCCTCTCATTTTCTCTGCATACGCGCGTGTGCATGGTGATATTAAAAGGCGCAACCAGTGTGTCTTTTGTTCACCGTGTAGTCGATTTGAGAAGGGATTCTGAAGCATGGTGCAGGTGTGAACACTTCTAAAATACAACGTGCAGTATAGAAGCAGTAGGGTTTCATGTTCCATTTTCTGTTCTTATTTTATGTTTCCTCTCTGTGTCATGAGTTCAGTCTTCAATTTCTTTTTGCACAGGTATTACATAGTCATGTCCATAGAAAGGATTTTTAAAAAGCTCTTTTTGTTTTTTTTTTTCTTCTCCTAGGCTTTGTTGGCTAATTAAAGAGGCGGTTGCTAAGAGATGACGAGCACCATCATCGGGAGGCTCTGATGTGCTTTTGCTTGGACCCTCAGGGTTTTTTTCCACCAGATTTTGACCCCTTGAAAATAATAAAGTAGCATGGCAGCTTTTACAAGCACATGTGCCAACAAGGTTGCCAGGAGCACCCGTACAAAAGAGAAAGACTTGTCCAGAGAATGGACTGGTATTGGCAACCTAGAGACTGGACAGCTCGCCATGTTCGAGAAGGGACACGAGTTCTTCCAGATCTGCGATATTGAAGATAAAGGCTTCATCACTCGCAGAGACATGCAGGTACAGTGGAGCAGAAAAAAATATTTTTAAGAAAGCAAGTTATTTCCAAACTTTTTCAAAAGTGCAATAAGTGATTTGCACTTCTGTTAACTTTGGACGGAATTTAAAGTGATCTGTTAAAGTAAAGTAATCTGTTCTGTTAGATTGTAAATTGAACTGGTACTTGCCAGAATTCTTACTTCTGTTATTTTTTTAATAGAACTTACTTTATCTGTTGTTTAATAGAACTTAAGGTACGTATTGTCTGTTCTACGTCAGTTCATGGACTTGAAAAGGAATACTGGCACCATCAGCAGCTTGATCAGTTTCATCAAAAATTTGGAAATGGGATTTTAATTACAGTGCGTGTTTTGAGTAGCCATTCTTGCACCCTCTGAAATATATGGAGCTGGAAAATAAAAGAAAAATATTGGAAGCTTTACTGAACTGAACAATGTTCACGTCAATACACACTTGCTTCTGTACTTGCTGTAATTATAATCTTGAAATTGGGAAATTTAGTCTAATGTTCTGCATATCTTGAACATGTAATTGAATGCTTACTTTTCTCACTTTCTAAAAATGAGATGTTTTTAACATAAATTGTACTTGTTCCTGTGCCCAATTGACAAGACAGGGAAGCAATTCTGATATTTATCTTTACTCTTTGCACATTTTTTGAAAGTGATTTTATATATTATAATTTTAGAAGCACATACAATAATTTCTTCAGAGCATATTAAAAAGGGTTCTTGTGCTGTGCTCTATCTACGGTACAAAGACATGGTGAGCTGTTACTGTAAATATAAATATTTATTCAGCAAAATAATTTATCTATTTATGATTTTATTTAAATATTTATTATTTATTTATATAGCAAATCCAAATGATTTGCTCATTTTCCAAGTAGACTGCACAGTCTAAAAATAATACTGTAGCACTTGAAGGGTTTTCAAATATTATATTTAGTTAAATTAACAATTACTGTCATCTTATACATTTGGTGCCCTTCTCTGAGACACCAGCAGATTCAACACAGTCACCACACAGTGCACAATTTAATCCTCAGTTTGCATACTACTAGGAAAGTACAAGAAAGACCCTTGTTGCTTTTTGTGGATTTTTGGGATTTGTATAAATGTAACATTCCTGATTTATGCCCCTAGAATAACTAGATCAGTATTTACAGCCTTCTCACCTTATCGATTTTCACTGAAACAAAAAAACAGACTTTGAAGCTCTGAATACGGCATCACACTGACCAGCTATTACTACTGTCACAGATTATGAAGACCACAGAAAAACCTCACTAAAAGTAGAACTCTCAAACTCTGCAAATGTATATTAGCCTTTGGGAATCTAAGTCATCAGCACTTTGTCAGATGTGCACAACAGTTAAATTAGTCCAATTAAGCCTTAATTTAACAAAAATGGCCCTCTTCCTGAGGTCTTGTACTGATATAATTTAATGTGACTCAAATAACATGCTGGGCTGTTGCTATCAAGGACTAGAATATACTGTAGTTTTGTTGTATTCGGAGAAATATCCCTATCAAATAAGACTTTACCAGTTTAGTGCAACCTCAAGACCTTGATTGGGAAGAGACAAAGACAACTGTGAATTCACCTGTAGGATTAATTTGCTGAAGAGAGACATGGGAATGAAATTTACATTCTGTCCACACCCACTGAAGTCCTGTCATGTCACTCTTGAATCGTGTACTAAAAAGTGGAAGATTTTATTAAAGAAAACTTCAGAGTCCCCTTTGTTAATGCTTCTTTTCTGTTGACTGATGGTTGATGGACGATTGTTTAATCTGTTCAGTTATGATATTTTCTCAGTTCTAGGTAATATTTAAATCGGCTTTCATCCAGGTCACCTTTTATGATCACCTAGAGGGAACTGAGGATGAATTTGTTCCCATGTTTTTCCAGTTCATTTTTCCTATTTTGCCTCCATGGGAGCACAATTTTATTAGTAGCACTAGGCATGCAGAAATAATCATATTTGTAATTACTATAGCAGGGTGTTTACATGTGTAAGCCGACTCATAGAACACAGGTTTATGTTTGTTTTGTCTGTTCATAAAACTTTTTTTAGAACTGTTGCGGCTCATCTTTGTACTTGTTCTCATCTAGCCTTTCTGTTTTTAGTGCTAATCAGAGTCTGCATCTTGCAATATAGATCTCATAAATCTGTTATTTTGCTCTCTATGAATTATAGATGCTTTCACCCTTGCGCACTGGAAATTGTCTCTTTTCTGTTATTTTCTATTGATTTTTATGTCATCAACTGCTATCGTTTTCCCTGGATGACCTAGTCTTTACCACTTGCATACTCCTCAATTAGTCTTTTTCAAGATAATCCATAATGTAGGTTTTGCAATACCTAATTTCTCTACAATGTTTCTAATTTTATCGACTCTTATATTAACAATGGCTTATTTTTACATCATAGACAACTCTCTAGTCTTCATTTTGGTTTATGCCTTGTAATTCAAGAGGCAAAAACACAACGTAAATTCCAAAGTTGTACATTCACAGCTCTTTGATGTTTTCATAGGTATTTCAACATGGAACACTTGAGCACTTACTTTATAAAGACCTTCAGCCATGTATCCCAGTACTAAATGCTCATCTGAAATGGGGGGGATTGAACACAACAGATTATATTGTTACTGTACATACATGTTGAGCATTTAATTTCATTAGTACACAGCAAAAAGAACTAATTTTGCTGTATAATAAACAAGAAGAAGCAATAACAGCATGAGGCCATTTCAGTGTGTGCTTGCAGAATTATTGACTTTTGTCTGTGAATGCTACCAGTCATTTGAAAAAATTTAGTTCTTCTACTCTGTCCGCTAATTGACTCTATATGGAGTTTGAGTGCTACAATCATGGAGGCAGTAGGCTTCAGACCAGAGAAGGAAAATGAACCTAGTGACTGTAGGGTACATGACCAGACACGAGCAGCCACAGAGCTTGACACAGAGCTAACTTTCTCCATGCCTTGGGAATGGCAAACTCTGGGGATTGACAGCTTGGAAGAAAACTGGTAGGAGAGACAGAACCCCATTCTTAAATTATTTACAAACTACAGTGCCAAGTCAATGTTCAATACACTTTAAAAATCACTGCTGACAAGGTAACAAACATGTTTTGTATAACTTATTTTGAATTAGTCAGTAAACTAACTGCCAAAATGTGCTCCACAAAACTGTGCAGGATACAGAATAGTATACTAGGCAAGGACTACGTGCATATTTCTGCCTTTATTAAACACTTCCAGCGAATCCATATACAACATTTAGAGGAAATGGCTGCATCTAGTGGCAGTTCAGCTGTCATTAGAGTTCCTGTGCCACATACTGTATTGGTAGAAAATGAATACTAGATTTCTAGATACTGGATGTGTTTTGTGAATATTCATTTTTTAACCAACACGAAGACCAGAGAACTGTGTAGGATGGATGCCACCTACTTTCCCTGTGCTTTGAAGCTGCAAGATCACAAAAAGTTATTAGTGACACCCAGTGGCCCGCTTACAAGCGGTCAGTAAAAGAGGCTAGTATTAGAGTTGAGGCTGGAGTAAGGGTGCATGATTCCAGTCCTGAAGAGCCAGGGGGTCTTGTTTTCTTTCTACTTGAGCTTTAAATTACTAATTGAACTCATTATTGTCTTAATTGGACAAGCTGAAGCCTTACCTTCTCTATATGAAGCTGGAGATTTAAAGAGACCTACAAAAGCTGCTGGACAGAGGTGGGCAGGCATGGGTTAGAGTGTCATTGGTTGGTTCTGCAGATGACCTGCCTATGCTCAGATGCTCTAGGTTATGGGTTTTAGTTGCCACAGCTATCTTTACAGATCTAGAATTCTCCCTAGAGAGTACTTCTGGCTGCTCCAAAACCCTTTATTGGATGAAGAGGTAAAATAATGGATGAATGTGTGGAGCAGGTTGTGAATATAATGAATTGCTACTTCAAAGTGTCATGACTGCAAGCTTCAAAGCAAAAAAGATGTGAAAACTGTAAGGGTACTGTATTTATGTAAAGTAACCCTTAAGATATTAAAAGATTTCACCTTTTGTGAGATGTACAATATTTCTTTAATACTGCTGATACCCAAATAAAGTATACATTTTGACCTTGACTTTCAGAGTAATGTACGTAAGAAAGACTGGTACATAACGACTTATTGATATAGGAAATGATGGGTGATATGGGTTTGTGCAAACCCATAGGGTCTAAGGCTAAAAAGGAAAGCTGTGTTTCTGATGTGCAATAAGTAAAAATACAGCAGAACCAGTTATCACCTCATAAAAGACTGGGTGAATATGACTGGGATGCAAATAATACTTTTTTTGCCGAGAAACAGTGTTGGCTGTAGTATGACTCCTAGAAAGTACTTAATTCTTTTCATTTCCTCTGTTGCCTTCTGCTCTCTTCTATTGTTTGAATATCTCCTGTGGGCCTTCTCCTTCTTTCATATTTTGTACAAATTATTAATATACTAGAGCATTCAGAAACTAAATGAATGGGCCTTTGATGTGTTACTCATTCATATAAAAGAGGTTACTCAATAATGTACTGTCTTATCTGTTGTTTATGAATATGCACTTATAATTGTGGACTCCTCCACTTGCTTTAAGTATGGCTACCTTAGCATGGTTAGAATACTTAAAATTATTTTTCAAATGAATAGGGTTGGGTTTAAAGTAACCAAAGTAAAAAGAGAAATTCCCATATGATAGTCTTCCATCACGATATGAATGACATTTAGAACTTTTATAAGAGCTTTTGTGCAATGAAATACTTATAAAAACAAACTGGAAAAAAAAAGGCCACAAGACAAAACAGACATACAGACAAGGAGCAATACGGAATGCCTCGCCACACTCCAGTAAAAGTATAAGATCACTTTATTGGCCATCTACAATTTCTTGTATTAGGAATTTGTCTTTTCTCATACCTCAACTTGCTCTCCATTAAACACACAGACAGGGAGAGAAGCTTGGGGTCAGAGCGCAGGGAGTAGGATTCCTCTGCCAGCCGTGGGATACGAACCGGCAACCTTCCAGCCACATGCGCAGATCCTTAGCCACAGAGCCACCGCACCACCCTAAAACTGTCACTATCACATTAAACAACACTGGTTCTTTTTGCTTAAACATGAAATTATTCTGCTGTTTTAAGTAAATCTCTTATGTTTCATAATGCCGGTCTGGAGGTTAGGGCTGTTTCTGTGTAGAACAATTTACTATCGTAAGGCATGGGGGCATTTCATAAACATGTAAAGTATGTATACATTAACACAAAATGGGCACAACAATTGGAAAGCAGGGGGAGAACACAATTCATAATGATTTGGTTCTTTTGGACTTTGCTATAATACTTAAGTGCTTTTTTTTCAAACTTTTCAGTGCAGACTTTTTAAACTAATTCTTAAGTTTATATTGATAATGTTATTTTTGAATTATTACACAGATCAAGTTAATTAATCTCTGAATTAGCTCTCATACCTGATAAGAATAATGATTTAACAAAACACTTATGCTTTCAGTCATGCATGTCTGAGACATTATTCCACAGTTAATATGTTGACTTGTTTTAATCAGGAGGAGAAGAAAAGTGTTCAACAGTTTGTAAAAAGAAGTCCTTTTTCTTTTGTGGCTTATGTTATCACATGATAAATGAGTGCGTTCTTTTTCTTTTCATTTTCTCTATACATATAAAAAACAGGAAAAAAGCTACAGATGTGAAACTATAATCCAGTCCTTCCATCCTGTTTGGTTGCCCATATCTAATGTATAAGAGAATCTCTGCATTTTCTTGAAAGATTTCAGGTATGTTGATTCCACAATATGGCCAAATAGGTTCTTCTACACTCCAACAGCCCTACAGTATGTGCACAGAAGCGACTCCTTGGCTTCTATTTGGGTCCTATGGTTTATATTTTACTGTTGGTCCTTATGATGTCAGTTAGATTCATTTCTTTGAACCTTTTGGAATTTTAAGTTCTTGAATCAAGTTCCCTAGTAGACTTTTCTTTTCCAGTCTAAAGAGATTGTTGGTTTGGCTTGTCTGTGTAGGAGATTTCTTGAAGCCTTGCAGTGTACTGTACCTAGTTTTGTTTTTATCAATTTATGAACAACATTGTCCTGTTCCATCCCTAACATTTCACCATTTTAGGATTTCTAGCTAAGTCATGGAGGACATGTCATGGTATTCATTGAATGAAATAAGTTATTGAAAAAGAAATGTAATCCTGCTTCATGTTTCCTGACAGAGCCAGTAGTTGGAAAAATGAGAAAAGCTGATGAAGAACCTTCATGCTTATGTTCTTGGGTGCTGGCAGAATCTCCTAGGTCTAGTGAAGGAAGGCTGATTATAGTGAAACTGAAGCAAATGATTGGTTACATTGCTTAAATGAGACTTAAGCTCATTTGGTAATGGAGAACACTACAAATTATAATTTCCTAATGTTTTAAGCTAGTGCTTTCAGAAACCAACAGGAAGTCTGTTAGAAAAGTGTTGTTTTTGTATTCAAGCAGTATAGGCCTGATAGTATTTTTATTTTAAATGAAAGTGAAGTGTAACAGGTCAAAAACTATTTTTACAATGTAAAATGCATACATGGAACAACCATAAGTCTTTAGTAACTAAAGTATGCTATTTGAATTGTTTAATAGTGGGTGTACTGAATATGTTATCTTGAAAGAGGAAATAATTTGTTGCCATGTCAACAGGGTAGTTGATGTACTGATGTGTTTGTGACTGCATAGCCTGTTCAATATACTGTATGGTTTGAGAAATATATTAAAGTATTTTTTTAATTTCCATTTTTGGGAATAAGATAAGTTATTTTCTTTTATAGTACTTCAGCCTTTTTATGATGTTTGATAGACTAATTCAAAGGGTTGTTTTTTAGACATTTTTACAAACCATTAAAGATTTAGAGGTTATGATTCTATACATAACCATTCACTTTGACAGTAAATTACCTTTGAAAAGTTTTCAGTCAAATTATAGTTTAGTCTCGATATACTACAGCATGTCTACGGGACACCTATAGAATTGGAAATGTTCCAGAATCCACAAAAATATAGTACAGCATAAATGAAGGAATAAACAACAAAGATAAAGAACATTGTCCACAATATGGATTGAAGTTTGTGTAAAACAGTGTTCTTGATGATGAATTGTTCAGGATTTAAAGAATGTAACAGAGCAGTTGTCTCTCAGAGCTGTATGTGTCTGTTGAAGCCATCAGAGGGCAGCTTAGAGAAGCTCTATACATGGGCATGCTGTAACTGGATATTTTTCAAAATATCAGGAAAAAAAATTGTACTGTTTTTTTTTTTACAATAATGGGAAAACATAACCTGAGCTTCAGCCCTATTCTTCAGTCCCTACCAGTCAAAACAGTAGGGACTGGTAAATTCAAGCACTGAAATGTTTTTGAAATGGTTTACTACCCATTTTGCATATGAAAAAAATTCTATGTTTTTTTTAACCTAAATCTCAAGGGTCTCTCAATGAACGAGCTACGGTAGGCAACACTGCACTCCTCTCTGTGCACAGCCAAATACCAGTTTCCAAAACCAAATAACTGAGATCTCAAAAAATCCATTCTCACTCTGAAACTGTATACAACTCTTCTAGTCTCTCTGAGTCTCTTCATTAAAAAACACTTTTCCAGAAATCATCAACTTGCATTTCACAGTTCCAAAGTTCCTTGGATGGTCCATGGCTCAGTGTCCTGATATCACAAAGATAGAAGCCCTGTTTTTCAGACTTCGTCTTCTAGCAACTGGTAAGGTGACTGAGGGCAGCATTTCAGTCCACAATGATTTCTGGGGAAAGTGGTCCAAAACAAGGATCTCCATTCTCTCTGAACTTGCTACCTTCTTACAATTAGAGGAATCTAGTGTGATTAGTTTCATTTAGAATAATAGTTTTAGAGTATTTCCCATGTGTTAAGGAAATAGATTCAGTATGGTGAAAAGTTTATCAGCCAAAAGTTAGCACATTCTTGGAGGAGATGGGAGCTCTCAGGTGGATGGAGTAACTTCAGTCACTGATTCAGGAAGAAGGAATTACAGTTTATAAAAAAGGGGAAAGCATATTAAGTAACGCATCAAAAATAAGGAATGATGGTGATTTTATTACACAAGACTTGGTCTGGCCTTAGCCCCGACTCTGTGATTCCTTATAATTTGAGTGGTTAATACAAGTATTGCAGATTCCCCTATGCCACGCTACCAGTTCTGTCCCAGAAGGTATCTTATATATTGTTCATGTATAAACTTATAAAAAAAATAAGTTTTTAAAGGGTGCTAGGTCCTCAAACATTTTCTTCTTGTTCAAGTCAGACCTGTGCTGTGTAATGTATTTATCAGTATGTCATCTTCTACACTCCATCTGTTTTTATTCCAGTGTCCAAATCTGATATGTCTGTTGGTTTGTGTTTTAGAGACTTCATGGTGAATTACCCCTTAGTCCCGAAGAGCTAGAGAATGTGTTTGACACTCTGGATGCAGATGGGAATGGTTACCTTACCCTGGAAGAGTTCACCACCGGATTTAGTGCGTTTAAAAATATACAATGTTAACCTGTTTTTTATGCTTAGATGTTAATTGCAAAACTAAAGAGGGCTAATCACTAAAATGTATTTAAAACTGAAAGATTTTCAGTGAAGATTGATAAATCTATGACTTAGTATTTTATACTGTAATAAATCTGTGGTAATTTAATACCTATTCTGAGATTCTATTTTTATAGTACTGTATCCATGATTGATACCAGTAAATAAACAGTGCATATTAGTTTTTAGGATGTTGTGAACCATTAATCATTGGATTATGTTTTGGTCAGAAATGCCTTTTGTGTAATAGACTGCTAGCATTGGAAACATTAGATTATTTTTCACAATGTTGTATCAAATTTTGTTGATCAGTTGGGTAGCTTTCTGCACAGGAGAGTTTAGATGTATGTTGCAATGCTTTTCAGGCGAGTTCTTGTTTGGGCAGAAGATCTCTCTCGCTGAAGCAGTGCAGGAGCCAGCACAAAGTCAAGGCCAGCCAGAGTGTCTCTACCAGAGCCAGTGGGAGGAGAGACTGGAAGGAGGCGAGGATGATGAGGAGCACAATTTTTGTGTGCTTATGGAGAGTCTAGGGGCCAGTGGAATCTTTGAAGAGTAAGTTTAAATCAAGAAATCAAATAAAATATTTAATGATTATCATCAACATGTAGAATTGTCCAAATAGCTCAATTTTCATTTCATCTGACCAGAAAACAATGTTTCAGTTGTCTTTCAAAGAATTTTTGGCAAGTTTGAGTCACCTCTTTTTGTGGTTCACTCTCAGAAGAGGCTTATTCCTTTCAATTTTTCAACATACATGCATGCAGCATGGAATAGTAGTTTTTGACATTTTGTATCCTGAAAATGCCAGTGTGCATTAAAAACCATAAACTGCTGCCTTTTAAACGGTTGCCTTTCAAACCACTTGTCTTGTAGCCCTTTGCAAAATGCACTCACTCCTTCTTTGCAGGAAGGACACCACACCATCCTTCCATTTTCTAACCAATGTGTCCAGCACAGGTTCGGGTGTGACACAGGGCCATAACCCAGCAAGCAACAGGCGCAAGGCAGGGTTCACCATGGATAGGATGCCAGCCCATGTCATGGACAAATAGATTAAAAAGACAAATTAACCCTGAGAACAGAACAGATTCAAAGCAGTATAATTTATCCATAAACCACATAGTGCACTCTTTATGCATCCATAAAAGACATGCATTGAATATCTTATCTGAAACCTTTCTTACTGCTTCTGTCTGAGTTCGCTTTCTGCCCTGGATTGTTTTACAGATCCCTATACTGTACATTTTACTATGTAAGGTAAGATCTTCAGGTCTTTTCGGCCTTTTAAGAAGTCAGAACTTTGCATTCACTACCTCACACCGTTGTAGGGCAGACCAAGGGGAAAGTAATGTCCATAGACAGTGACAGTAAACTAACCTTTAAAAATCTGTTCGTGCTTGATGTCAGTTAAAGGTAAGTAGCTGCTGAAGAAGGTTTCAGATCGATTACTGCACTTTATCGATTAAAGGCAGATGTGTTCATTGTGGGTCAGATACAGGTACTTAAAATAAAGCTGCCAAATCTGATTAATGTGCATTGCCTCCATTTATTCTGTCCTTGTACAGTATGTCCTTATTCTAAGGTGATTAGAATTTTTTTTCTAGTATTGATAGATCCCACTATATCCAGAGGTCTTATTCAGAAATTAGCTCTAGACCTTTGAGAAAACTGGGGATCGAAGATTTTGTTGTCAGATTTGGTATATTGTTGGAAAAAGTGCCAGGATGTGTAATTTGACTACATTTGTTATACACTTTAAAAAAACTCCCCTAACAACAGAACAAATACCCTCATTATACAGACGCTTAATTCCTTCTTTACAAATACCAGGCCCTTGTCTGGTTTTTCAAGCCAAATCTAATGGAAATAATTACAAGATTTGCTTTTTTTTTGTTTTATGTACTGTATAATTAAACACTAATTCTGTTGAGTAGTTGTTAATTAACTGTTAAATAACACTAATTACAGCATATATTGCTTTTACAGTGGAGGTCATACTACCAGAACCCATTGAACTTAAGGGCTAGTTCATAGAAATACATGTAGGAGATGTATCTGAAATGCTTATATCTGCAAGTTAAATCATATATTGCACATTTAAATGTTTTCTATCGATTGCGTGGACACCTTGGTACCTACAGTACAAAGGATGTCATCTTCTGACATAATTACCATTAGTAGTTATGGTTTATTAAAATCTTTTAGAATCAAAATGAAGGGGATGGTTTGTTCCTTTTTGGATAACTGGTATTATTTTTCTTTGCTGCCCTTCCGCTTCTTAAAACACAGATAGTACTGAGAACCTTTACTGATGCTGAATGTAATACAGTATTCTGTTTCACCAAACCCTCAGAGGTACTATTTCTTAACTTCCTTGATAGGAGCAAGTTTGTTTTCAGAATGTTTGGGGTCCTGTCCTTAGCCTCCAGCTATCTATGCTACTCGGTGACACGCAGCTACAAACTGCATGTTAAGTAATATGTACTATATCTGTGATGAGTGTTTTCTAAAATGTTAAATTTCATTTAATGTCACCCATATTAAGATACTGTATTTCATGGCACCAAAAAGATAGTGAATATCCCCATTACCATTTTAACATATAATAGGGAAGGCTGAGATTTTGTGACTCAAGTGGTAATTAAAAATATCTGATGAAAACTGATTAAAATATCGAAAGATCAAGTTATAAGGTTGCATGGTCTTGAACTTCACAGATTTTTTTTTTCCCCTAGCCCTTGTGAAGTGAGGAACCTTTGGACTCAGCTAAGGAGAGATGAACCCCATCTTCTGTCCAATTTCGAGGAGTTCTTATCTAGAGTGACCTTCCAGATAAAGGAGGCTAATCAAGAGAAAAGAGAGATGGAGAGTGCACTAAAGAGGTTGGTGTGCTATGCCTTATTCTTTTATGGATATGTGCAATGATGATTTTCTGTGTGGCAGATATCTTTTTTTTTTTACTTTGGAATGCCCATTTTCAATTTCACTTCTGTGCCGCAGTCACTGAAAGCTACTTATCCATAGTATCTGGCTAAAGCTCAAGTTTTTCATAAAATAAGATGGGTGTAGTCTTAATTATGATCAAAGGACAGTTATTATACTTTAATAAAGCTACTAATATATAACTTATGTTTCCCAAATGCATTATAAACGAAATGACGAGAATACTACAGAATCATTTTGTCTTAATCAATTTTCCATTCAGGTTTCCGCTGCAGTGTGTCGTGGAGAATCATAATTCAATGTCTAGCAAGGGCAACTCTTGTTCTTGTGATCTAAGTAAACATTCCAAAAGAGGAATTTGACTTTAGATGGAAACTGTTTGCCAAGTCTGAAGAAGAGTTAAACCTGATTAACACCTTCTCAGCAGTGGCAGCTTATTGTTTGCGCTGCTTTAGATTCCAGTTTGTCATACGACTTTCAAGTTCTATCATGTCAATTGCCTACAGCGCCTTCATAGTGAATGATAAATCGCAAACATCATTCTAATTATACATTAATTTTCACATAGCATTATGAGAATGAGGCGAACATTATTTTCTTTTTTTCTAAATCTTAATTCAAATATTGGATGGAATATGGTTGCATCCCCCTCTGGAGAAACTTAGTGTTTTGGGGCGGGGGGAGGGAAATGTCTTTAAGAAATGATGGGGAGAAGGCATAAGAAAAACTCCAACAGGATGTTTGGGAGTATCTTTTAGATAGTCTGTATAAAGCAGAACATAAGAAACCTGTAATTTACTACACACAATTACTGCCAGTAGTATTATAGACAATTGTGTGACAGTACAGTATATATTATATATTATAGTTTTATAGCAGTATTATGCCCAGCAGATATACCACCCTGCAACCCACTGAAGCTAAGCAGGTGTGAGTCTGGCCAGTACCTGGATGGAAGACCTCCTGGGAAAGCTAAGGTTGCTGCTGGAAGAGGTGTTAGTGGGACCTGTAGGGAGCACTCACATTGCAGTCTTTGTAAGTCCTAATGCCCCAGTACAGTGATGGAGAGACTGCACTGTATAAAAGGAATTGTCCTTCAGATGAGACATAAAACCGAGGTCCGGACTGTCTGTGGATGACAGTGTGGATGTTAACCCTGGTGTCTTGGCCAATTCTCCACCTGGCCTTTACTAATCTTGGTTTCCTAATAATCCCCACCTATGAACTGATTTCATTACTCTGTCCCCCTCCCCACTGATACAGTAGCTGCAGTGTGGTGAGTGTACTGGCGCACTTTGGGTGCTTACATCCATTTGGATGCTACACATTGGTGGTGGAGGGGAGTTCCCATTACCTGTAAAGCACTCTGAATGAAGTGTCCAGAAAAGTGCCATAGAAGTGTATGGATTATTATTACTGCACATTCATACTGGATGCTGTGCAAAAATAAAATGTTGACCCCTCCTGTTTTTTTTGTCATAAAATCAGAGCTTCTGCTAATACCATACTCAAAACCAATACATGTGCTTCTGGAGTTTTTCACTATCTTTCTGTATTTTTTTTTCAGTTTGTAGTTTACTTTTCTTATGTATCAATTAACACACATTCTTATTATACTGAAATATTTGATTGCTTTCAGGAAGATTTGAGGCGATCTAAAATTTGCTAAACTTATTTGACATGCTGCCTTTTATGCATCAGTCTATTAGTGTCGGAAACGGGGAAAAGGATTTGTTCTAGATTTTTTTTAAACCCACTATACTGTATGTTCAGACACCTGATCTAATTTTGTGGCAACATGTAATGCAAATCCTCTCACTGTAGTTAAGATTTTTATTTTATGTTTTTGTGGGTATTTTTAATTGACCAAGTTTTGTGATTAGTTGTGTTGTAACTTAATTGGAGTTTGTGAGTCCCACTCCAAAGACCTTCGATAATGTTTTCTTATAATGTTGATTATTTTTATGACCTTACAACTAGACTAACTTATATACACACTTTGCTTATTAACTTTATGCCTACTGCATATGCTTTCTACTTAGAAGGCACTCAAGGACGATGAAGATCAAATTTATCTTGATTTTGGAATCGATCTTTAAAACTTATTGTATTGAGTCTAAGACTATGGCACAAAATTATATTTTTGAAAGCTGCAACTTATTTTTGTGCATTTAAAATACATGTTACTTTAACAATAAGTGGCACATTAATAATCACTCAAAAAAAGTAAAATAATGAATTGTTTGTTCTGTCATTCATAGATAGATTCGCTACAAATTAATGATTTTAATTCACAGAAAATCAGAGGAATTTGGTCTAAATAACAACGGACCACAAAGTAATATTAAAGCATAAGTTTCTGGACTCCTGAGCAGCTCAGTCAGTAAAACAAATCCGTTGAGTCAAAGGTACTGCAGTCCAAATATCATCTGTTATCAGCTGGTGGTTACTGGGATTTTCCAAAAATGGAGCTGGATTTGGCCAGTTTATCTTGAAATGCTGGATGGCAATCTGCAGTTCAGCGCTCTTCCAGTCAATGCTTACTTGGGTTTGACACAGTGGAAATCATAGATGGGTCTCAACATTGTTTTTAAAACTATACATAAAACTATTATACATTTTTTATTCCTACACAAAATACTGCTATTTACACTTTTCAGTTTAGAAAACTGCTATCACTTGAGTTTTCAGAAGTCATTATTTGCTCAGTTTCACGTTTCCTTATCCCTCCTGTTCTGGTCCATGAGTCATTAGCGATAAAACAGTTTTGATTAACTGTTCTAGAAATGACTTCAAAGAAAACAAAGGCAGTTTCAAACACTTAACAAAATAAAAAAAAAATAATATTCCAAATGACCATGTTTGGCAGCATGTGCAAATTTATAGTTTTAGATACTGTATTTACATTTAGTGCTGCTTTTTTCAATATTGTATACTGTAGAAGATTTGAAGTGCACAGTTTTATGAGCATGTCTACTACAGTACATTAACAGCTACAGCATACAGTTAATTTCCATGACTCATAATGGACTCCACCATAACAAGGTCTTAAAATGTACATGTATTAGTTTTTGACCTTCATGCTTTTTACAGGTACACACTGGCATTCACATTGCTGTACTGATACATGATGTTAATGTTTTGTAATGGTCTGTGGTGTAATGGCCTGCAGGTGGTCCTAATAATGAGTAGTGCATCTTCATTGTGCATTATTCTTTAAACAATAGCACTTACCTCTAAGTAAGATACTAAAGTCTGATGATTCCTTTTGATATGCAATGTTTTGCTGGCTCTGCATTTATGATTTTTCTTAATCAGTGAGTAGTTGCCACTGTCTTTTATCTGTTTTTGTACCCTTTTGGACACTTCTAACTAGTGTTGTACCCCTTGTTGCCTCATAGTGACCATGTAGAAAGGCAAGTACTAACCCAAATAAATGTCAGTGGTTAAATATTTTGCGAGCAATATGATGCAAATAAAACCCTCAGTGTATCTCTAAGTCACAAACTATTTCTACCGAATGTATATATTTTTTATTTTAAATCGAACATCCCTCTGAATTTTGTTACTGGGTCTTCTTTTGTAAAATAGGAATGTGCAAGGACTAAAATTCATTTGTATTTGTAAAAGAACCTAATAAAACCCATGTCACCATGACCTGCTGTCTCAGTAGACTAATGAAGTATCCTACTGAAGTGCATACATTTCCTAAGGAGTGCCCACGGTTATTCACATTCTATTCATCTGGTTTCCTGTGTTACTGCAGTGTACAGATACTATGCAGAAGCTTTGTAACATACTGTGTTGAGTCTGTTTTCAGTTTAGGCATTTTATAACTTCTGACTAACAACAAATAAGGTATGGATAAAACATGTTTTGAGATACAAATATGGTATTGTAACTAAAAATATATTTAAACCATAATTGTTTAATTATCTAATTATCTAGTATCTTGTAGTAGATTGATTGATACAATATACTGTAGGTATTCATTTGTTTTCAGTGAAATTCCTGAAAGCACTTTATGCTTCCAAATTTCCATCTTGCTCTGTCTGTGTATCACTAACATAACCGTAGTACTGTACACTAGCTGTTATTAATACCTTCATTTTAAATACAACTAAATGTAGTACAGGAGGTCCCCTTTTAATGTCCTTAATGGGGGTCGTAAAACGGGGAGGTTACATAAATCAACTTCAAGGGGGAATTTCCCATAAGAAATCAAAAATGGGGCTTAATGGGGACCAGGAGGATGTAAATATTCCAGAGGACGTTAAGTGTGACATAGTTCTCAATATGAATTAATGTATTTGAACAGTAATAGGGACAAGAACATGACATAAGTCTCTGTATTAACATTTTCTGTGTATGAACAGAACATTCATGCTTTCTGTGTGGCTACTGCACTGAGACATTAAGTTCAGCACTTAAATGTAATTAAGCTTTGTTTGAAACGTTTTAGTAACACTTAGTATTTGAAAATTAGCAATGAATTAGAGAAAGCTCATGTGTATGAGAGTATAATACTACATTAAATACAGTACACATGATGAATAAGGATATCTAATACTGTATGGAGTAAAATTATTTTAATTTATCTAGCAATGTAATCTGCTTGCACGTTTTGATGTTTCTCAACTTTTTTGTTAGGGTGCTTTGCTTTCAAAGGACTTAAATTCGGGGTATAGAAAAGAATTGCATAAACGTCTCAAACACCTACAGCATAAGATAAAACTGTAATGTATAATGATTTCTATATAATACAGGGATATTTTTCAATAATTTTACTAGACATATGACTTTTTTTGTTCTGGATGCCGGTTTTAGGGTGGAGTTTAAGTCTTTGGGATGTAAAGTCAGGGAATTTTTAAGCAGGGTAAAGTTAAGTGGGAACCCCCTGTATATGCATTATTATACAGTAACTGCAATTGAACATGAAAAACTGGTGACAGCCTGCACCAATTTTATTTTTCCATTTTTGCTCACTGTCCAACAAAGTCCTGCATATTCTGCACAGGTGTCCTTCAATTAAGTTGGTCAAAAGTTGTCATGCTATTAGTGAGAGCAGAGGTGATGAGATTAAATATGTTGAATGTCAAAATTGGTCAAAATAAAAAATAAATCAGGAAACAATATGCCCTGCTTATCAAGTGAACAATAATTTGCCAAACAATGCCAGAAAATGTGGCATCAGTAAATTGGAGGCTGGTTAAGTCAGTCAACTGTCTGAGGTGAGTCAGTTTGCTCTCTGAGGTGTTCACAGCCAGCAGTTTTTAGCCAGATGAGACATGAGAATGAATATCAGTCCATCAATGATGGGACACATTTATGATTGATAGGAGGTCAAAATGTTAGTCTACTCTGTATATTATATAGAGTATAGGGTAATATAAAATAATGTCATCTCCATATTACTCTACCAGGCTGCACAGCTCTGTATTGATCTGTGTCCGGGTCCGGGTACCTCACTTCCAGGTTGTTATGTGGACTCATCCTGATGAAGCAACATTACATCTGGACAGTACATTCCTTTTGTTGCTCATGGTTTCTGACAGGCTTCTTGAATATGCTACTGGCTATAGTAAGCCCCATTGAACGTTTGGAGGATAAACTGGAAATCTAGAACTCAGGAGACCACTAAACAGACATGCACTAGATCTAGATCTACAATATATGAAATAAGATGGTGTTTGGAACCTGATGCAAATCATGTGCACTTTTTACCACAGTGGCCACACCACCTACTCACCTGTGACTTGCAGTACACAGTAGACTTGTCTTTGATCAGTACTGTTCGTGAGGAGAGTGAAATCAGCATGAATAATTAATAATGAATGTTCAATAAAATTTCAGTGCACCTTTTACAAACAGCTCGTCATTTTTTGATAGCTTGTTATGAATTTGTTAAAAGTACATGATGTTTCTTTTTTATGTTCAGTATTGTGATTTGCAGAAGAATTCTTAAAAAGCAAACCAACTTTCTGCACATCTCTGCTTACTTGTGGTCAAGAATGCATCGCTGCTCTAAACTGTTTAATCTCTGTAAAAAGCAAACTTCTAAAGCTGTTTCTAGATTATACAAAGTCTTCTATGGTAACCGTTGTACAATGTGAGGTTATAATGATAAAGACAAATTAATTTAACACTCAGCAGGTTCTAAAGAAAAAGCCAAAGTACCTAGGATGTAAAAAAGCTAATTATTTTACTTTTTATTGAATTTCTCAGATAATATCCTAGTGCCTAACCACAAATACCTAACCTAGTGGTTCCAGTGTGCAGAAATGTGTGTAATTGTCCTGAAGAATAATTTGGATTTTATTCTGATTATATTATTCCAGTACTTAAAAGTATAAATAATTTTCTTCATAAGAGAGAAAACCTTTGTTTTGAAGATTGTATATTATGAAGGGTGTATGATTTTTTAAAAAATGTTTTCTTCTAACTTTTTAATCTAGAAGAATATGGATATTGAATATTAGGACATAATATTTTCTTCCTATCTTAATAGGATTTACCCCTTTAGTTTCCTTGCACATTTTTCAGATTTGAAAAAAAAAATCAAAAGGAAAATTCTATAAACTTTTTTTGCCACAATTTATAGAAAGGCAGCAACACATGATGATGAGATCCAGCGCCTCTATGAAGAAATGGAACAACAGATTAAAAATGAAAAGGAGCGAATACTTATGCAGGTGAGAAAAGCTTCCGATTTTGTGCTTCATTTTGAGAGCTACAGTAGGATGCAATCATCATCTTTCCATTTTCAAACCACTGTATCCAGTACCGGGTCTATGTTTTCAGAGAGGCCCTGTGCAGATATTTGCCTATTTCTTTTTGTTTTTGCTTGTATTATTCCTCTGCAAGTCTGGGTTTTGAAATATGTTCCTAATGACATAATAATACCTAAAGAAATTCCATTCTTCATATTATAATAAACACTACTTTCAACGGCACAAACCGGCACAAACGTAGCACTAACGAATGAGGTGGGTTTCATCGTTTGTGCTCGCTGTAGGGGGGCAACCTTCACAGAGCTACAGTAGCGTTTTAATTCCATGTATTTCTTGCCTATGCCCTTTAGCGTGATTTTGATCTTCGGGTGACTGCTATCTCAGCATGTGTTCTCTGTCACTGACCAGGATTCGGAGCGCTTTCTCTCCCACAGTCAGGACCTGGAGCAGCAGCTGTCAAGAAAGGAGCTCGAGCTGGAGCAGCTGATCCAGAAGCAGAAGAGGGTAATGGCAGCACAGCCACTGCCAGAGCTGCACAAGGAAACCCTCAATGTTCAGCCTGGCACTCTGGCAGTGATTGTTCTTTTTAAATATTGCTGCTGTATTTCACAGTAGGAGTGTGGCTGTGCAGGGCTCTATTCCTGATTGCATGAGAGCTTAAGAAACGTTGCAAACAAGAGGAGGCCATTCATCCCATCTAGCCTATTTCATAGTTATAACTTAATTTATCCAAGGATTTCATCTAGCTGTTCCTTGAAAGAAACCAGGATATCAGCACAACAGTGCTGGTTGGCTTGTGCTAGACTCCCACGTCCTTTAGGGTAAAAAAAGTTTCCCCAGTTCATTTTTTAATGAGAATACTGTACTTTTATCAAGTCCCTTTGCTCCCTTCTCTCTACAAGATTTTAAAGGTTTATTTTCTTTAGCCTGTCAGTGTAGGACATTAAACCCTGGAATTTATCTTGTTTCTTATCTCTGATTCTAGAGCAGCAGGATCTTGTTTAGCATCAGTCCAAAGAAGTGCAACCAAATACATTCTAGGGCTTAAATGAATATCCTACACTGACAAGACATTACTGCCATAAGAAACAATAATAACTACCAAAGATGTGCGTTTTTCTGTTTTCAGAACTACATTGCAAAGGAGTAGAGAATCAAAATGAACATACTGTAACATCACTATATTTAAAAACTCCAAATTTATAAATATTTTAACCTATTATGACCTATTATAGAAGGTTTAATTGAGGCAATTCCAGTATTCCAATATTGTTAGAGACAAATCAGTTATCAGTTACTAGTTATGTTGTGAGAAATTATATATGTCAAAACATTTCCACTCTTAGATTCCACTTCCTGTTAGTAATTTCTGTGTGCCATACTATTTGCATTGTTCTGGTTTGAATTTCATTTCAATTAAGTTGTGTTTTTATCTCTTTGTATGTTGGTAGCATAACAAGAAAATTTAATGCATTAAGCTGAATGTATAGCAACACCTGTTTCTAGAGAACTTGTACACTAATCATGTGATGCAAATTAATAGATTTTAATGATCTCTAGCTTTCACCCTCTTAAACAGATCCACACTAGGGCTTTTAAAGCTAATCAAACTAATGTGGAATTCTGTTACTCAATTTATTATAATCCCTTTTTAATAAAGAACTCCCAGCCTGATTCTGCGTTAGAGCCATTAGTCACTTCTTTTGTATAGAATTTAAAACTCCTTGGCACCTCTTAATTATTCTTATTGCTAATGAGCTCTGCATCCTTCCCCATTGACAACATGGTTTCTTCACAAAAAGAATCTCTCCTAGATAGGGCAGGCTAATCAAACTGTCGGCAGCTCAAGGTCACATTGTGTTCTTTGCATTTCTTTGATGAATGAGGATTTAAGTCCTTATTCCCATTTTTAACACATAAACAAAGTTAGCCAACTACATCAGAATTGAAAATTGGCCTTTTTCTTTCCTTGGTTTGTGTAGCTTACAGAAAAGGCATTGCCTCTTAAAAGGTATATTTTTGTTTATTTAATATTATTCCATTTTCAATTAATTTTCAGCATTCACTTTAATTTCTACTGGATAAACAGGTTAGCCATCCCAGGCAGTCTGGAAATAGTTTTTGATGCTTCTATATATTTAAGGAGTGTGTCTCATTACAGACATTTAGGCACAATTAATTATTTGATAGAAAACACCAGTATAATTGGGGTGCTTGCCAAAGTACCGTACCTCTTCTATACCTAATGTGATGCATACAAAAAAAAGAGTAAAAGTAGAGCATATTGCATGAAAGATCCATTCCACAACGGAGCTTCGTATCACATATTCCGGTAAAAAGAATCCTTGTTCTTTATTGTGCTGCTCCAGGCTTCTGAAAATTCCTTTTTATACTACATAATTATTTATAGCAAACACTGGAATAGTCTGCAGTCTGAGTTGTTCAGTGGGACTTTCTATGAAAAGGATTGAGATATGATTGGTATCAGAAGCCAGATACATCATGATTCATATTTGAAATAGGATAAGCCTAACATGTTGAAATTTCCTTTCATAACTTTCCCACAGTTTCATGGAATACCTTATGTTCAATACCTGGCTTTTTTTTTTTTGTTTCTGAGGTCATTCTGCTTTGACCCACTTGATTCTAATTTAGTATTTAGTAAAATAATCTTACTGTTCATCATATTATGTATAAAACATGTTTAGAAAATGCTGTTTTGAAACGGGTTGAGATGCTTTGTACAGTATACATGCATGTTTGTTTCAAAGCTGGAGATGATGTGCTGTGTTTTTGCCTCCTCTTAGTTGGAGAGAGAGTGTGTGGAGCTGCACAGTGAGCAGCACGAGACCAAGGTGGAAAATGTGAAGCTGAAGCACACCAACGAGGAGCTGGGGAGGGATCTGGAACACACCTGCCAGGAGCTAGCCCTGGCCCAGGAGCAGCTCCACCTTCTACAGGAGCAAGCATCTCGACTGCATGAAGAGAGGGAGATGTGAGCACACTCTTGTGGTCCTTTTACATGTAGAATAACCACTTCCTGCAGTTCAGGGTTACAGGAGAACTGGAGTCTATCCCAGAAAGCAACAGGCACAGGGCAGGGTATACCCTGGACGAGAAGCCAGTCCATTGCAGGGCAAACGGACAGAGACATCCACACACTCACACCACGGCCACTTTTTTCCCCAATGCCAGTTAACCTACCAGTATGTTTTTAGAGTATGGGAAGAAACCGGAGCACCACTGTTCCACCCATACACAGTATATAAGAAGCTATAATCATTAAAGATGTTTATATTTTATTATAGCTTATTATACTGTAGCTAGCAGTCTGGTTGCTCTGTGGCTAAGGATCTGTGCCTGTGGCTGAAAGGTTGCTGGTTCGTATCCCGCGGCCGGAAGAGGAATCCTACTCCGTTGGGCCCCTGAGCAAGGCCTTTAACCCCACATGCTCCGGGGGTGCTGTATAAATGGCTGACCCTGCGCTTTGACCCCAAGCTTCTCTCCCTATCTGTGTGTCTCATGGAGAGCAAGTTGGGGTATACGAAAAGACAAATTCCTAATACAAGAAATTGTATATGGCAAATAAAGTATACTTTTACTGGAGTGTGTTGACGCATTACATGTTGCTCCTTGTCTGTATGCCTGTTTTGTCTTGTGGGCTTTTTGTATCCAGTTTGTTTTTAATAAAGTATTTTATTGCACATGTGCATATGACAAGTAAACTAAACTGAAGCTGAACTGAACTTTATCTTATGTTATCATAATACATAGCCAAAATCCAATACAATAAAGGGATTCAGATTTTATCAACAATATCTGCTAAAGGGGAATTTTGTCTGTTAAATCAGAAACACCAGATTTTTCCTGCAATAATGGAAAGAATAACAAGGCTTGGTTAAGGGGTTTGGAAAACAGGCTTGGTGTATATTTAGAAATAGGGTAGAACGGAAGAAATTAAAGTATAAATGAGTGGTAAAATATTGTTAAAGTACATATGCTGAACAGGGATTGTGTCATGGTTTAGCATTGTTTAAATAAACAATATGTAACATGAAAATTAAATATTTTCAAAAAATTATAATGCAGTAATTCAAAAATAATAAAAGCAATGAAAAACAAAATACCTTTAAATACAGTAGGTCTAAAAGGCATGGCTATCATTGTGAAATACAGGGAAAGGACGGCTGGTATGGAGGTAAGCAAACTGCTTACCATGGGTATTGATTGTGTTTCATATGCTTTAGTTAATTTTTAAAAAATAATTTTGAAAAATAAGCTAAAATGCAAACAATATGTACAGTACTGTACTGTAAAAAAACCTCTGTATAAAGCATAAATAATTAAATGAGGTAAAAATTCAGGATTGTCAATGGTGCCCTATTGGGGTAGGTCAGTTGCTTACGATGGGTGTTTTCTTATTTATGAAAAAAAAAGGCACAGGAACAATTTTCAATGACTGTATGGATTGCAGTTGTTAAAAAATAAGTCAAAAGATCCAGAAATCCTATATATACAGTAGTATATATTTCTCAAATAGTGTGTTTGTAGACTAAATAAAATTAATTGATGATTTAACACACATTTGGTAATTTACCCCTTCACACCTATTAGTGTTTTCAACTGAGGGTTTGATCGAAGGTTTAAAGATGATTTTACCAGAAAAGATTTGTTTTGCATTTTAGAGCATGTCTCTTGGCATTGCAGTCTCATGTCAGCTATCATAAGGATAGGTTTGCCTTAGTTCTGCAGGCAGGGTAGCTCTTATCTGGAGATAATCATACTTTAGGTTACACTTGAGCCAGGTACATTAGTTGTATTTACACTGCCCTAATCCTCCTTACAGTTGTCCTAAAAATACCTGCTACAGAGTATTGGAGTACAGTAAATAGGCTTCACAATTTAGCAATCTACTGTAGATGTTATGTTATTTCTCCACATCTTTGTTCGATGTTCCTTTTTCCATTGTTAAATGATAGCGTCTTTTTGTGAAATTGGTTCTTGAACGCAAAACCTTGGAAGAAAAGACTTTGGACCTGTTGATAATTGAGTTCTAACTTTCTAATGCAATAAAATATATATATACTATATATATCAAAGAGAGGTCTGAGAGGGGACCTGCATTAGTGCGAGATCTGAATAGGAACACATAGAGCTAAATTCTGTAGAGTTCTGGCTGAATTTTGCTCTTTCTACAATTTTTTAGTGTGCAGTTTACCCTATACTGTATTGTATGCATCGCAATTGTATATAGAAACAATATGGTTTTAGGGATTTAGGGAAGACTATTTAATAAGAAAGGTGTGTTATTTATTTTGAACCCAAGAGACTAGTCAAACCCTTATGAGAATAATGCTATTCATGTGCATTTAAAGAGTGTACCATTGCCAAGTAGATGGCATTATTATGTACTGACTTCAGTGTTTTCTCACAAGTGAGCAATGACCCGGTAGACCATGCTTAAGCTGACTACATGGCAGAAAACAAGTAAATAAACTAATTTCTGAGGGGTCATATATGGGTGTTATGTTAAAGATGCCCCCTGACAATATTATTCACTGCTGTTGATCACAGGGAGCTCTACAGGGTAACAGAAGGACTACAAAGAGAAAGAGCGAGCCTGTTGAAACAACTTGACCTCTTGAGGTATGAGCCACACACTTCTGTTCTTTTTATTAAGGCCCACAATAAAAGCTATAGCATATGTCCTTGCACCACAGAGGACTGAGTCATGTTTTGAAAATTGTTTTTTTTCCGAGTTTTTGTAGAAGTCTGGATCTGCATGCAAATACTTAATGTACCAAGTAATGGAAAATACTTACAATATATACAAATGTTATTTATAAAAAACACAAATCTATTATGATTTTAAAGGTTATAGAATGAAACACAATTAATATGCACTAACTTAATTTTGGATATTATCAGGGACTTATAAATGCCTGAGCCCAGATTGGTCTCTCTAGCCAGGCTGGGCCTTAACTTTGGGTTTTCCAAGGGCTGTTGCCTAGTTGGCCAAATGCTGCCAGGGTTAGGCAGGCTTGATGTATTGGCCAGGGTCTCCTTGGCTTTGCTGCCTAACAGCCCATGATGTTTGTCAATTGCTTGTGAGCTCACGGTGTTATTAGTGACTCATCTTCTGCTGCTTGCAATGTGAAAAGTGCCCAACAATGCATATTTCTGGGGCAGTGAGTATGTTGGCTCCATCTCTTTTGTGAGGTTGTAGTGTTGTTTCCAAACTCAGACTATAAAGTGAGAAATAATTTTTACTTTTACTAAATGCAAAATATTTAGCTTGTGCAATTATCCATTTTCTTAATGTATTATAGTTGCAAATGGACAGAACAGTTGCAAACAACTGGTGGGGAACAATTTATAGTGGCTTTTGTCATACTTTTTGTTGGTCATTTTTAATGAAAATTTCTGTCACCTGATATACATATTAAAGTTTGTTGTATGTAAAAATCTTTCCTAGGGAAATGAACAAACATTTACGAGATGAGCAAGATATGTGCTATCAAGTAAGTAAATTGAATCAACAGCTGAACTACAGTAGGTAACTTTTAAAGACATAGAATATTTTTGTGACATTATTAGAGATACCAATTTTGAGAAAAATGAAAAACAGTCTTCCCAATAAATTATTAAAATAAATAGTACTGGTTTTGCTATATGAGCTAATATGAGTTTCATAGAAAATACAGAGCACTGGTGGTGAACCCCACAGAACATTAAAAACTTCAAGAATTACATCATAAAGCAGCCAGGTTTTCGTTCTGTTTTTAAGTAGACAGTTCTGATCTGATTTATTGTGTCTGAGGAAGTAGAGCTATTGAATCCATAATTTAATTACTGCCACTTTTTTCAAGGGTAAATTCTGTCCAAAACAAACATCAAACATAAATCACATCTAACTACAGTTCTGAGGGCACAAGGTAATTGTATAATAATAATATTTGAGTGGGCAACTGAGTTAACATGAAAGCTGCAAGGGAACAAGTAGAGGGTAATTCCACTCTGAAAAGTAGAAGGATAGAGGAAAAACATGTTTCAGTCGTGTAGAAAACAGCAGGCATATAAAAAAATGGTGTGGATAAGTAGAAGAAAGGAAAGAGCATTTGGAAATGGGCACAGAGTGAGACTGTGTTTCCAATTAAATTGAAATCTGGGAATGCCATGGGAATTTTCAGAGCCTAAATCTGTAAATGACTGGGGAGACATAAAAATTGTTCTCCATATCTATCCCCCTCACTCACACCTTACTGAAACCCCAACCAATATCATGTTTCTTTTTCAATTGTTTAGCGCGGATTAACCTCTACGTGTCTAATAATAATTGTCCAGAACATGTCCGTAATGTCAAATGTGATTTAGATTGTGTTTTACAACCAAAGATGGAAGATCATAGATGTCATTTATGAAGATATTTGTATGGCATGTTTTCTTCCTGTGCTGTTCAGTCTACAGCTTTGTTTATCTGTAGATGGTATAAACTGCAGTTTGTTGTGATTTATCTTTGATTTTTGTTTTGGCCACAATTTCCCCTTTAAATGGTTCACAGTTATGGATATGTCCATAACTGTACATAATGTACAAGTTTCCTACATAATGTACATTTTTATCAAACTAAAGACATGATTAGTGGTATGGCAATTTCTAAAACAATTTAAATCCAAGTTTTATTAGCATTTCATTAACCCTGATGAGAAGCTAGATCAATATAATGCCTCACAATGGCTGTATATAATCTTTAATTGCAGTTTTATTTTATGTTTTAAATTGTGATGGTTTTGGTTAGTGTGTTTTTCACTTGTCATATGTAATAAATACAAAAAAGACCATCTAATAGCCTCTTGTATCCTGGCTTTCAATCTGAGATGTAGTAATCTTAGAAGGACAGTGAGGTATACCTAATGGCTAGCCATTAAAGCAATCATACAAAACTAGGAACATTAGGTTTGGAAATAACACTGCTTATTTAATTTTTGCAGAAGCCGAAGAATTCTGCCAAAAACTCTTCCTGGAATCAGAGATCTGGATCGATTGTTGGTAAACACATGGAAAGAAAGCAGTCCATTAAAAGGTAGTTCATTTGTTCAAGAATGCTTTCAGTGTTAATTGTTTTGAGTAATGTACTGTATGTCAGACATTCAGGTGATTTGTAATGGACTTCTCTGTTTGTGAAATAATGGAGTTTCTGAAAGACCTTGTTTTTAATGTGTTTTAATGTTTGTTTTGCAGCACTTTTTTAAAAAAGATTATAATGGGGAAAACAGACCATTTTGTGAAAATAATTGTCACTCTTAAAATATACAGAGTTGAAGCTAATATTGAAGTATTAGTTTAGACATGTACAGTAAGTAGACACAATTTAGAACAATGTGTTGTTTGGAAACCTTGTTCTCTTTTTCCTAATAGTGTCATAGAAAGTTTTAATAAAATTCAAGACAGCTATTCTTAGAGATACATTAATTTTTATAATAAAGTTTCTCTTAGTAGTTTTATTATATCTCGGTGGACTCGGTGGGAAGGTTTGTTTAGTACTATGAGTCAATATCAATCCATCCATTTTCTATCCACTTCATCAAATTTAGGATGCACAAAGTCGCGGGGGAGCCAGGGCCTATCCTGACAAGCAACAGATGCCAGTCCTTCACAGGGCAGACAATGAGCCAGTATAATGTAATAAAGGGTGTTATTGAATGGACGTTTGGGTGGAGGTCAAACTTGTGCTTCCACATGCATAAAAGCTTCCTAGCTGAACACTGCACCACCACACATCCTCTCAAGCAAAGCGTACCACTTTGCCACAGACGCTTCTTGCATTCGGCCTATCCAGGATATTGCTTTCACCGCTTCCATTCATGACCGGAGCTATTCTCATCCACCCCAGCCTCAGAGATCCACCAAAAACAAGCGACTCCGTGCAGTCAGTGTTTTTCTTTCAGGTCTCCTGTTGCCAGCAAGCCTGGCTTGGGGTTAGAAACCTGTATAGGTATCTTAGGAGTTCTTTTGTAGTAATGTGATGCCCTGCATCGCAATGTCCTTGCCTCCTTTAACTCAGCCATATGTGTTAAAGCCAAAATACAAACTATGCTAACTCTTTATTTGTCACCTTGTTTCATCATTATTAGAATTAGACCGAACAACTGAAATTCCTGTATATATACCTGTTGAAAGCACTGTAGAAATTAACTTGCCAACACAGAACCTAATTATGTAAGATAATGTATGAATGTCAGAGCTTTCTTAATACAAAATGCAGTCTTCACTCCATACCCCACCACTTCACAGACACTTCACAACTCGCACATTGCTGTTAAGCAGGTGTGGAGTGAGGATCATAATGAAAAGTGAGGTCATAACAGTGGAGAAAATAAGATACCCAGACTTGCTTGAAAATATTACAGCAAAGTCTCCTATGCCTTTGTCTCTTGTCTTTCAGCGAGGATGAAGATGAGATTCTCTCATACGCCAGGAGGAGAAATTCCGCTGGTCTGAATGGATACTGTCAGGTGAGCAAGGAGAATGAAGTTGACGGGAAAATGATGAGGAAGCCCCAGCTTCAGAGAATCATCTCTATTGAGGAAGATCACCTCCCCCAGTTGCTTCATGTGGAGTATGAGGCCCAGCTTAACGAATGGACTGAGGAGGACGATGATGTGGAGGACGACTCGGGAGAGTCAAAGGAGGATCAGAGATCCTTAGAAACAGCTCAGTCTCCTAGTCTTGAGGTTGCTGCTGTTTCGGTGATATCAGAAGACAGCACAGCTGAGGAGAGTGACCAGGCCTCTTGCAGCAGAGCTCCTTCCTCGCCAAGAGGGCAGCCAGTGGGAAAAGAAACACTATCACATGTAAGCCTATTACAGCAATGGTATTTGAACTGTTTCAGTTTCTTTTCAGCACCAAGCCCTTTGTGCACAATTTTATATTTTTGAAAAAGATGGTCAAATGGGCTGAACAGGTGGCAAGTATCTCAGTTTATAGTGGTAGCAAAAGCCTTTACTCTTACTACAATTCTTTATTTAATGAAAGGACATAGTATAACAGGCTGGTGAAGTAACTTCAAAACATTCATTTATTTGCATAATAGTAACAGTTGACAGGTATTTCTTATGTAATTTGTTATTCAAAGCAGTATCTGCTTGCATTTTATTCTGGAACAATTAGGTTTCTGCTGGTCTGGTTCTTTGATGCATTAGCAAATTTTGTCCTGGAAACAAAACCAAAAAATTTTTTTGTGAAACTAGAAGGTGTTAAATGCAAACTAACCTTGTCTAAACACTATCATTCATGAAACAAAAAATAGCTTTAAGTATTGAATTATGCCCCAAATCATGACAAATATGCATGATTTTGCAATACGTACAGTACAGTGGTGCTAGAAAGTTTCCGAACCCTTTAGAATTTTCTGAATTTCTGTATAGATTTGACCTAAAATGTGATCAGATCTTCATCTAAGTCATAAAAATAGATAAAGAGAACCCAATAAAACAAATAACACATAAAAAGATATACTTTTTCATTCATTTATTGATCGAAGTCATCCAACATTAAATATCTTCGTCAGAAAAAGTATGTGAACCTCTAGGATTATCAGTTTAGTTAAAGGGATAATTAGAGTCAGGAGTGTCAATCAATGGGATGACAATCAGGTGTGAGTTTGGGTGGCCCTGCCCTATTTAAAAAACAAACCTGAGTCTTCACCACAGGTTTGTGAACGCATGCCATGCTTCGATCAAAGGAGATTTCTGAAGACCTCAGAAAAAAAAGTTGGAAAATGTTACAAAATGATTTCTAAAGACTTTGGGTTTCACTAATCCACTGTCTGATAGATAGTCTACAAATGGAGAAACTTCAGCACCATTGTTACTCTCCCCAGGAGTGGTTGTCCAACAAAAATCACTCCAAAAGTAAGGCATATAATATTCTGGGAGATCACAAAGAACCCCAGGGTAACGTCTTAGGATCTGCAGGCCTCTCTTGCACTGGCTAATGTCAGTGTTCATTAGCCCGCAATCAGGTAAACGCTGAGCAAGAATACTGTGCATGGGAGGATAACAAGGAAAAAGCCACTGCTCTCCAAGATTACCATTGCTGCCCGTTTAAAATTTGCTAAAAATTACCTGGATGAGCCAACTTTTTTGGCTTAAATGAGAAACGTTTTGTTTGACGAAAACCAAACACTACATTCCAACACCCCATCCCAACTGTGAAACACGGTGGTGGCAGTGTCATGGTTTGGGGCTGTTTTGCTGCCATCATTGACGGAACTATGAATTCTGGATTGTTCCAGCAAATTCTACAGGAGAATGTCAGGGTATCCACTCTTGAACTGAAGCTCAACTGAAGGTGGTTCTTGCAGCAAGACGATGAGCCTAAACACACAAGTCAGTCTACCAAAAAGGTTGAAGCAGAAGAAATTTCGTGTTTTGGAATGGCCGAGTCAAAGTCCAGACCTTAATCCAATTGAAATGTTGTGGCAGTACAATGCTTTCTTTTACTTTACTATAAACCATTTCCGTGACTTTAAAAGCTGAGCCCTGATATCATACTCCCCTTCCAGTCACCATTCATAGAAAAACTAAGATCTGACGGCAATCCTTCTTAAAAAAAAATACTCTCAAGACAGAAAATAGTAGTTGTTCTAATCTTTGAAAACCTGTGTTGTGTGTTTAACAGCTTGATTTCTTTTGCAGTGTGTTATGTCTTGCACTCTCATGTTGCTTTTCTAGGAAGAGGGAACAGTTTCAGTGCCTGATCGCTTGTTTAAAATTGTCCTGGTTGGCAACTGCAGTGTGGGGAAGACCTCCCTGCTTAGGCGCTTCTGTGATGACCGTTTCTTCCCAGGAACCTCTGCCACTGTAGGTGTGTAGCCCTTCCAGTAATTAACCTGCCGGCTAAATATGCCTTTGTATGTTGTGAGGCTCTTAGCTCACACCAGGTGTGTGTGTGTAGGTTGATTTTGTGTTCATTTCAGAATTCAGGAGAAAAAAGCGGTGATAAAGGTTTGTTTGTATGGTTTCGCAACAAATTAGCATTATGTCCATTATTTTTATTAGGTGCTAATTTCTATTTTACTCCCATACACAGTAATCACACACTGAAAATCCATTGGGGGACTGTTTGTTTTCCAAGAATTTGAAGTTACCTGGGGGGGGGTGCTTTTTAATATCATGGATTTGATTTAGAATTTTTGAAAAATATTTTAACATTTGTGCTTTTGCACAGTATAATACATTTTTTCTAACACATTTAGAAATTACATTTTCTAAAGGATAAAACTGCAATAAGTTATTAATTTTTTGTTTTTGTCTGTTTTTTATCCAAATGGCATTGTGTACTTCAGTTCAGCAGACTAGGATGATGATGAGATGGACTGATTTAAATAGAAAACAAAAAACGTTTTTGGTATTGAATGATCCAGACTCTTGCAGACGCAGAACATGAAGATTTTGTTTTTGTGATAGATCTTTGTAGTTTTTTGGGGTAGATTTTTAGTGTACAGTACTCTGCTGCTGTATTCGTTATTGAGGGATCCATTTAATTACAATTTGGATATCTTTTTTGTGGTGGTAAGATCATTTGATTTATTTAGGGTGATCAAATAACAATGTAAGACTTACAAGGCTGATATCTTGGCTTACTGATGGCTAGGATTGCATGATTCTAAAAGGTGAAACTAACTACAGTATGCAGAACATAGTGAACATACTCATAACATGGGTGATATGTTGAATACAGAATAAGAAAAGAAACTATGCATACTTTTTTACAGTAAAATATGCATATTGTTGTTACTGATTATTTTTGTATCAGTTTGATTAATTTAACATTTTGTGACTGACCACAATACACTCAAGCGACATTGAGTATTGCATAAGAACTAAATCACCTTATTAGTGAGAGTTTTGATTAGGCATTGGCGATGAAGTGAACACAGAAAAGAACTAAGTCTTCTTTAGGGATAAATTGAGGTTTTGCATAAAGGACCATGATGGACTCGGCAAGCATTGTTCTACCATGCAGAACAATATGCTAATTGATGTGTATAACAGATAAACTGATGGGTAGCTTCAGGCTTTATGGTCTGGACAGGAGTGTCTAATCACTTCAAAACGCTTCACCTGATGAGGCAATATTTCAACTGGGCAACACTGTTCCTAGAAATAAATCCTAGAAAGAAATGTTCTCATGCTGCTTGGGTAACAACAGCTTTTTTGTGAGATGTGAAAGTGACAGTTTTACAGTGGATGTTCTGCTCACCAGACTCTAGCCCCATTGAACATTTATGTGATGAGCTGGGGTAGTGTGTGGTATCTAGGGCTCAGAATATCTACAGCTACCATTATATTGATCTGCATCACTGCCTGTAATAGTTGTGAACAACAAGAAATAAAAGTCTCTCTTTTTGTGCTGTATGTAGTTCTCTGCAAAAAGACTAACATCATTAGAAAGCTCAAGGAAATTTTTTGTCATACTTCAGCTTTCAACCCAAATGCATTTGAAAACAAATTTAATCTATTTGGTTACAAATGTATGTGCATCACCCCCTATCTCACCTCAAATCTATTACTGCGATAAGGAAATACACTTAAAATAAATGAATAGGAACTCTCATCCAGGCTGTATGAAAGGAATGGGGTTGAATCCCATAAAACAGCATCAGCAAACTGGAGAAAAACATACATTATACTAGATATCCTGCTTGTATTGCTTCCAACATGGGCCATACACTAGATGCCACTAGACTGTGACATTTACTGTACAGTAGATTTCCTGTTGATAAAGTTGATTGCAAGTTAATTAGAATAAAGAATTTAATGGCATGTCTGCTTAATAAAATATGAGTTCACCAGCTACAAAAAACATGGCCTTTTTCCCTTCTAATAACTTGATCAATTAGTTGCTACTGTGATACTTTTCTTTTGATATTCACTCTAGTACAGTATCCGTTTCATCAACTTGACAACTGTGAGAAAATATATCAGTTATTTTTACATTATAGTTTGTGTTGACCCTATTAAAAATTTGTCAGTATAGGATCTGACTTGACGAGCGTTTTGATTTTTAACACGCACTTTTTCTCCATCCAGTATGGTAAAAGCTGCCAGTAATCACGTTGTGTGAAATTGGAAAGAGCTAAGCTTCCAAAATCTTTAAGCTGGTGCAAACCTATAAGGTTTAGGTTTTCCTGCATGTTTGTCTCTGTGAGTATTAAAAGGTTTTTTTTGGGGTAAATGGTAGGGTTGAGAGAGAAACATCCACAAAGAACCATACTTGATAAAAAATGAATAGGAACTATTATCGTAGCAACTACAGTAAGTGAAGTAGTTAAAATTTACATAGATTTTGGAGATTAGATGTGAGACATGGGTGATGCACACACATTAGCAACTGAATATATATATATATTCAAATGCATTGAGAGTATTTGGGTTGAAAACTGAATTAGTACTGTATATGACAAATATTTCCTTGTGCTTTTTAAGGATGTTAGTCTCTTTGCAGAGAACTACATACAGCATAAAAATAAGAGCCTTTCAATTCTTTTTATTTACAACTATTACAGGCCTTGATGCAGATTATCTATATTGTGTTGTATATTGTTCATTCCTAGAAAAAGAAATTGAATTCAATAAAATTGGGGAGCTATTTCAAGACACGTCTTTGTGCCATCCTTACAAGAAACACCAATCAGTAATAGCGATGGTGTGCTCTCTCAGACAATAGTATGTCCTGTCTTGTTCTCCAATTAATATTAAGACTGAGTCATGTTCAGGCTGTCAGCACGCACACTATTTTTGGCACCTATTCTAAAGCTTTATACAGTCCATTAGTAGCCAAGCTCCTTGTTCAGCTTCGGAAAGTCTTTTAAATCTGCAGCCGTGTTTTAGTCTCCACATTTTTTTTCCAGTTGTGATTGAGCCATTCGTAATGCAATGTCATATACGTATGTTTAGACTTTAGAAAAAAAAAAATTACACTCTAATAAATATGTAGAATTTTTCCATTGTGATGCTAAAGACTAAGATATTGTCTTCTAGATATTAAAAATAGTGGATGTTACAATTTTTGGGCTTATTTTCTAATTTGAGCTTTGGCTATTGCTACACCTTTGCTTTCTATCTTAATATTCTTTTTAATAAATCCTAACAAATGTTTTGATTAAATAGTAAAAATGATTATTAAAGTCAGTGATGTATCCTTACTGCAGTTACTTCATTTGCAGGATATACCTGTATGGACGTTTATATTACGTTCAGTATTGTGGCTCCAAAATTAACAAGGTCTTTGTCAAATTTAGTTGGAACCAAAAGACTCTTAAGTGCCACTTTGTGGTTGACAATGGTATTGCTGTCAGTTATTCATGAAACTGATTCATGAGGACTTTTCATAAAAGGTTTTCCCATTTAAACCATCTTGTTTACATTTTTAGGAATGAGTTGAAATTGTTTAATTGTTCACAGATTAAAGTATTCATTCTTCAAATTAATAACTGGCAATTAACTGGATAAAATCTGCAAGATATGACCTTCAATGTACAATATCATACTGTACATAGCAAGTACATTATTTAGTTATAGCTCTTCAGAACCTTTCTTAATACATAAACCTGTTTGGTTGTTTTGTTAAGTCTGCTTTCATGGGCTACAGTGTCTGAAGGAACTTCATACCTTAGATAGAATCACAGATTGAATATAACCAAGGTTCCTGGTGTTCATATGCAACTCACATGAGTAACAGTAAGATATGGCCCAGTATAGTAAAAGCTGCCAGTAATCCTGTTGTGTGAAATTGGGAAGAGCTAAGCTTCCAAAATATTTAAGTTGGTGCAAACCTATAAGGTTTAGGTTTTCCTCCATGTTTGTCTCCATGAGTAGTAAAAGAGTTTTTCTAAGTAAATGGTAGGGTTCAGAGAAAAACATCCACAATAGTTACTATTCATTTTTTATCAGGTGTGGTTCTTTATTGTAGCAACTAAGTGAAGTTGTTAAAATTTACATAGATTTTGGAGATTTGAGGTGAGATATGGGTGATGCCCACACATTAGCACACATTTTATATATAAACCTGTTTGGTTGTTTTGTTTAATCTGCTTTCATGGGCTAGAGTGTCTGAAGGAACTTCATACAGTACCTTAGATAGAATCACAGCTTGAATATAACTAGGTTTCTGGTGTTCATATGCAACTCAAATGAGTAACAAAGATTTTTAAAATATAGTACCAGAGATTGTAGTGTGGTATAACCACAATAATGTCTTGTTCTTCATGTAGAGTTAATAATATTCCCTAACCTACTAAACAGTTGTGCAGTCTAGAAATAAACTAAAAACAGTTTTGTGTATACAAGCCATTTCTGACAGCCAGTTTTGTTTGGACAAGGCATTCTTTACTACTGTCTCAGACATCTAGATTTTGTGCCCTTTAACATGTTTGGGTCTGTTACAAACAGGAATAGACTACAGTGTGAAAACATTAACAGTGGAGAACAGCCAAGTGGCACTGCAGATGTGGGACACAGCTGGACAGGAGAGGTAAGACTTATTCAGGTGAATTCACTAGTAAATCATGTTTTATAGATAAGCCTTACGATTTCTGAATTCTGAGACTTTAGTGGTGTAATTCTGTGAATGTACAATAATAATAATAAACTGTTTCTGCAGGTATCGCAGTATTACAAAGCAGTTTTTCCGAAAGGCGGATGGAGTAATAGTGATGTATGACATCACCGTAGAACAGACGTTTACATCAGTACGGCAATGGCTGACAAGTGTCCATGTAAGTTTTATATCTGGATGCAGGTGTTTTCAGACCCTTGCATAGTTTTCACATTTTGTTGCTCTAAAGTTAATTATAATTCATTTTATAATTAATATGAAAAATGAGTGTAAAATTCTTTTTGCACTCTTAATGCTGCATACAGTAAGTGTTCAAACCCCCCTTTGCAGTGACAAACCTAAATTAAGTTGTGTGCACAAAATTACTTTAATAAGCCACACAATTAGTTGAGTAGCCTCTGTTTGTGTGAAATGTTTTCTCCACTAATTCTCGTGATTTCAGAAAAAAAAATCTCTGAGGTTGCTTAATTAGGAATTGAATTTCAAGCAAAGTCTCAAACATGCAGACTGAGGAGTTTTCAAAGAAGGATTAAAAGCATTAGATTACACTTTCTTTTAATGAAAATGTATTATTTAGATGTCTGCTTCATGGTTTTATTACCTTGATATTCTACATTTCCTTGATTAGTAGTATGCACTGTAGTTTTATTTTTTTAATTTAGAGGAGGGAGTTACAGTAGATGTTAAGGTTTCCACCAAAAGCGGAGACATTCAAAGTTGTTGCATTAACTGTATACTCAAATCTCATATACAGAAGAATGGAGTTCTCTACTTCAATATTACATGGCATATGAGCTCGTCTTCTGTAAGGGTTGGAGCTTGTTCAGCAGGCTGATTATGGGCTCAGATCTCAAACATGGAGGACATTTACAGTATCAAGTACTACATTTTCTGCAGTCTAGCTCAATAAGTTCAATTTCAGGTGTCAGTCCGTTCTCATGTTCTTATTCTTCAGTGTACCCTGCCAACACCATAGGGCAGTAGTTCTGAAATCCTAGTCCAGATGGGCTTCAGAGTACATCCAACAACACAACTTACAGAAGCAGCCTCCCTTTTCTTATATAGGGATCCAATCTCATTACTGACCAAGTTACAGTATATAGCAATTAATGGCCTGGCACATAATTATTTAGGCAGTTATCTTCTCACCTTTCTAGAGATGCTTTATAGTCTATTGTGGTTAAGCATCTGAGCATTCCTCAAGTACATATGAAAAAGGGACATTTTGTTGCAATGCCCTTAAATGTTATGACATAATTA